CGGCCCCCAACGTCGCTCGAGAAGGTTAAACCATGGGGTCTTCAAGGTGTAGTCGTCTCGGTCGAGAGTCTTCGAGAGCTCATCCGCGAGCGTGTTAAGCTCGCGAGGGATCCATTCCATGATCAAGCGAATGCGACGGGTCATGCAGGTGCGAATGATGGCTTTGCATGCGGTGGTGAGACAGCTGTTGCGCGATCCACCCTTTTTTAGAATAAAGAATACGCCCTGGTTGTCGACACGCATGAGCACATGTTTGTTCTGATGAAGCTTGTGAAAGTTTGCAGTGCCCAGAGCACCCCTTCGAGCTCACGACGAGTACTGGACGTGGCAAGTAGTTCCGGGGGCATGTTCGCGCAGGCCTTATGAGTATTTGTGGAGAACGTGTCGAGTGTGGCCCCCCAGCTGTGCGCGCTGGCGTCAACATGAATGATTGCGTCGTAGCTACCGCGAACATGAAATGGGGCTCCATTGAAGTGGTCGAACTCGATTGACCAGAACTCCAACTCTTCGCAAGCACTCGGGGGTAGTAACAACCTGCTGTTCCATGAAGGCGCATCATCGATGGTTTGTAGTAATGCGTGACTGAATGCTCGCGCTGTCGCCCCAAGGGCAAGGTTCATGGAGGCGAGCATGCCTGTGATACGTGCGACTTGCCGTTTGGGACTTTGTGCTGTGCACGTCCTGCGGCCAATAATGAAGCGATGGTAGATTGCAGGACGCTTCGTCGCTCCGTGCCGACAGAAAATTGTCCCCGCTGGGTATCGAGCTCCAATCCTAAGAATCTTAGCTGCTGAGTAGGATGGAGATGAGACTTTTTTGCATTGATCACGAGGCCCGCTTCTCTTAGGTCCGTGATCGTGCGGGTGCAGACGTCTCGAGCCTCGGCTTCTGTGTGGCACAGAAAGAGAATGTCGTCCACGTATGGAATAACGCGGACCCCTGTTGCTCGCCATCGACGTGCCAACTGCTTGATCAATTGAGTAAAGACGAAAGGCGCCGTCGCTAGTCCGAACAGGAGTGATCTGAAACAGTACGAACGCCCCTTGAACTCAAAACCCAAGAATTTCCAGCAGGACGCGTGGATGTCAACGTGGTGGTAACCCGACTTGAGATCAATTGAAAACATCCAATCCCCCGGATGTGCAAGTTCCGCCACGCGAGGGAGTCCTTCGTACTTGAACTTCGGAATGCACAGCTCGTTATTAACTTTACGTAGATCTAGGATGAGGCGACACTTGTCTCGCTGCTCGACGACGTTGAGGGGACTAATGCATGCGAGCTCCGATGCTGGCACCTCGATTGCTGCGCCGGTTTGAAGGAGATCTATGATGGCTGATCGCGTAAAATCCATGTGAGCATGGGTTCCAGCATGATTGGAGCACTGAAATGGTTGTGGCGGTCCTTGTTTCCACGGCATCCAGTAGCCCCGTTCAATAATTGATAAGACAAGGCTGCTCGTACACCAACTTCGCCACCAAGCCAATGCGGATCGCAAGCGCCCCCGCATGATGGAAATTGTCCTATCCGTCACTGCGTATTCGAGAGGGTGATCTTGTTGCCCCAAGGCATGCATCGAAAGGCCTGCACATGGCAGTATACCAGAAAGCAATACATAACAGTTAGTTTAGTTTTTTTTTTTTTTTTTTTCCATCCGAGCAAGCGTTGACGCTCGAGTGGGATAACCCTCTTTTCAAGCACGAAACCATGGTTTTTTTTTTTTTTTTTTTTTTTTTTACTTTCTTGAACTCATGAAAGTTTGCTTCCAAGAACTCAGAGACTTCCTGAAAGACCCCCAGGTGGGGGGGGGGGGAGAGAGGGGAGAGCGAGAGCGAGAGAGCTCGCTCGAGAGCGAGCGACTCTCTCTCTCTCTCTCTCTCTCTCTCTCTCTCTCTCTCTCTCTCTCTCTCTCTCTCTCTCTCTTTCTCTCTCTCTCTCTCTCTCTCTCTCTCTCTCTCTCTCTCTCTCTCTCTCTCTCTCTCTCTCTCTCTCTCTCTCTCTCTCTCTCTCTCTCTCTTTCTCTCTCTCAATTTTCGCCAATACATTATGCGCCCGCTCGTGGCAAGGTCGTTTGTACTTTGGTTCTTTATATTAGTGTCATGATATTAAGTTTCTTGAGGCTTCATTTGCCTCCCTCAATAAGCCTCCTTGAGGCGTGGGGTGTTGAAACTGAAGAGCAACCAAGAGATCCTTGAGTAAGGCTTCTCTTCACTCTCACAACAAGTGCAGAACAAAAATTATATAATTAGAAAGAGCAACTCCATAGATCTTATCGAGAACTTCTAGGCAAGTGCCCTTAGACCCTCAATGGTCTATTCCCCTTTGAACTTTTTCACAGCAAAAAATAAACGGAAAAGATCAACTTCATGATGCTCTAGAGAGCTTCTAGGCAAACGCCTTAGACCCCAAATGGTCTTTCCCCCCAAGGGCTAGCCAACCGGCAATAAAAAACAGCCCAAGGGCACGGCCAATAGCCTTCGTGCGGTTATGCGCCCCGTCGAGTTTACACCACCGGTGCGGGTCCGTGAGGACCGTGCCCACCAGCAGGGCATGCGTTGGCAGTGTGGCCTGGCTGGCCGCAGCGGAAACAGGTGCCGCGGAAGCCCCTAGCATCGCAGCTAGGGGTCGTGCCGAATTTGCCGCCAAACCCCGTGGGACCGCGGCCTCCAAGGGAAGAACCGCGACCGTAGGAGCCTTGGGCGCGGTTCATTGCTGCCACATCCGCGAGCGCCTGCTTGAAAGGGCGCGAAGTCAGCACACTTTTCTGCTGGTACAGCTTGAAGCGGTGCGCCGTCTTGAAGTCGGAGGCGTCGGCGACTTGAAGGAGTTGGAAGCGATCGGCGATGAGCGCGTACGCCTCTTCGAAGAGCTCGAGAGCGCCAGCGGTGTCGCCGTGGCGTATCTTGTGCTCCGAGTGCTTCAGGTACGCGCGCAGGTCCTCCAGAAATTCGGCTTGCTCGCGTACCCCGGCGTGGTGAAAAGAAGAAGCCGGAATGGTGGGGTTGGTGGATGGGAGTGGAGGAAGATGTTCGGCAGGTGCAATAAAATTGTTGTGTGCATTAGCCTCACCCGCTTCGTCTTCAGAGTCGCTGTTGTCGTTGACGACGTTGGGCGCCGGAGCTGCAGCGTGTTCCCTTTCGGCACGAGGGACTTCGGGCACGCGGGGGTGACGTGCCAAATCGTTTCTTGCGTTTGCGTTTTTAGCAGATGCGGAAATTGTTGTCGCTGTAGGCGTAACCGTCGGCGGCTGCTGCTGTTGTTGTAACAGCGCCAAAAGCGCTTGGACCTGGTCAGCAGTCAGCGTCGGCGGAGTCAAAGCAGGGTCAGCCGTCGCGTCAGACGAAGACCCAGTTCGGCGCCTCTGGCGCTGACGCGACGGTCCGGCCACAGGTGCTGGCGCGTGCTCGGCGTCAGGCGCGTGTGGCGCCATGGGTGCTGCAGGTGCCGCGGTCGCCACTTGCACCGCAGGCGCCACAGGCCCCTCAGGCGCCACAGGCGCCGAGGGGTGCTGTTTGTTGGCGGTTTTGTTGACTTCCGCACTGCGCGTCAAAAGATCGACGCCAGTGGTCGCGATACATTCGTCATCCGCCCGTCGCTTGTTGCGGCGATCGCCCGAAATTTCACGGGCGTTCTTCTCGTTGTCCGAACGATTCGGGGCGTTGTCAGTCGGCGCCATTGAAGCTTGATTGTAGGTAAGAATGTCCGACAGCAGCGTCGAGGGTGAATGAAAACGTGGAAGGGTTTTCACCCTCGCCAGGTTGAGGTCCGAAAAAATCGGGACGGGGTTGGAGCCTCCGACAAAATCGAGATGGGTCTCGGAACTGGGAATTGAACTTGAGCGATTGTAAAATGAGAGACGTGGGTGGGGGAAGAATGACCCCAGCCCACATTATATATTCGGAGAAGGCGAATACCGCGCTTCGACGATGCACAAAATTGCGTTACAGTCAGCTTCGCTTTCACAATACGCAAATTTGAAAGCGATAAAACGCTTAAATTTTTTTTATATTTTGAACCTAGGGAATTCAAGGGGTAGTATCAGCATCAGCACGAGAACGGCAAGGCTCTCGCCTCGCCATACTCAAACTCACAGAACCCTGCTCAAATGTTCTAAAACGCGTTGTACCTCGAAGGCGAAAACGTTTCGGGCTTTACCACGAATATAAGCTACATGTTGTTTCAATAATTCTATTAACTCTTACAGCCCTTGTTCAGATGTTTTGGTTGGAACTCAATGTGTGAGTATACCTGCATCCAAATGCAAAAATGTCACAGCAGAATTACTACACTATTTGCCGCTCCCCTCTTACTGGCATGCTGATCAATAACAGCAAGAACACCAAACACCCAGCCACCACATTTGTACTTGCAAAACGACACACGGTGCTTGAGAATCTCCCCCACCAGGTTCCCCCCCCCCCCCCCCCCCCCCCCCCCCCCCCCCCCCCCCCCCCGACCCCACGTAGCGCCGCAGCAGCAGAGCTTAGCGTAGCCTACAAAACGAAACACCACTCATGAGCTGACCGGCAACCCCCTGGTGCTTCAAAAACTCCCCCACCAGGTCGCCCCTGCCCGACCCCACATAGCGCCCCAGCAGCTCCCCTCTCCTATAGAACAGAAACGTGGGTGCCTCCACCACCCCCAGGTCGCGGATCAGATCCCTCGTGCAGTTCACTGAGTCTCCAAAGAAGCGTGCGAAGACAGAAAAGACATAGAAACCACGCACCAAGCCACCACCAGAGCCACTTCCCATCCGGAAAAATCCCACTCATGAGCTGACAGGCACCCCTTGGTGCTTCAGAATCTCCCCCACCAGGTCCCCTCCCCCCGACCCCACATAGCGCCCCAGCAGCTCGCCCCTCCTATAAAAAAGGAAGGTGGGCGCCTCCACCACCCCCAGGCCGTGGATCAGATCCCTCGTGCAGTCCGCTGAGTCGCCAAAGAAGCGCGCGAAGGCACGAGAATGAGTGTCACTCACGAACTCACAGGCACGCCCTGGTGCTTCAAAATCTCCCCCACCAAATCCCCCTGCCTGATCCCACGTATCTTCCCAGCAGCTCGCCCCTCCTATAAAAAAGGAACGTGGGCGCCTCCACCACCCCCAGGTCGCGGATCAGATCCCTCGTGCAGTCCGCTGAGTCGCCAAAGAAGCGCGCAAAGACAGCGTGGCCGGCCATGCGGTGGGAGAGGTTGAGCACGGTCTGGTGGATGCGCACGCAGGGGCCGCAGAAGGTGAGCGTTGCCTCGATCACCACTAGCATGTCCGTGTCCTTGTGCGTCTGTGGGAGGGGGTAAGGCAGGGAAAGAGCAAGGTGGAGAGAGGTTGAGTACGGTTTGGTGGATGCGCACGCATGGCCCGCAGAAGGTGAGTGTTGCCTCGATGACAACTAGCATGTCCGTGTCCTTGTGCGTCTGTTGTCGGTGTGTGGGGGGGGGCGAGGTGGAAGAAACTGAGCAAGGCTAGCAAAGCGCAGAAGGCTGGGCTTGTAAACAAGCATGGGTCGCAAAAGGCGGGTGTTGCTTCGATCACCACCAGCATGTTAGAGTCCTTGTGTCTATGGGTCTGTGGGTTTGTGGGTCCGTGGGGTTGTGTGAGGAGTCGGCGATCCTGGGGAGATGGAGCACGAAGCGCAAGACGGGGTTGCAGTTCGATCACCGCCAGTTGTCAGTGTCCTTGTGACTTTGTCGGTTTGTGAGGAAGAAAAGCAAAGCGCAGGGGTTCTCAGAATTAAACGCAGGGAACTTGAGCAGGTTGCAGAGGTCTAGGGTTTAGGTGCTTTTCTGCACATGCTCAGGCGTTTCAGAAGAACGGACCTGGTGAACTGGGCGTAACCGCGTAGAACCATTCCCGCATTCCCCCACTCCCCCAGTCCAACGAGCGTGTGGAATCTCTTTTTCCCCCATCCTCCCTTCCCCCATTCCCCCATTCCCCCGTTCCCCCATCGCTCCATTCACCTCAAGCGCCCCAACGAGCGCGCGGAACTCTTCCGCGGGATTGCTTCTCCAGCACATGCCCTTGCGCAAAACAGACAGTCGGGCCGCTCAGCGCGCAGCCAATCCGCGTTATTAGAGAGATTCGCACACCTTACCCTTGCCCTTCCCCTCCCCCCTCCCATCCCCCCCTTACCCTTCCCCTTCACCTTACCTCAATAAGCGCTTTCCCCTCCCCCCTTCCCTCTCCCCCTTACCCTTCCCCTCCCCCTACCTCAATAAGCGCGCGGTACTCTTCCGCGGAGTGCACCTCCAGCACGGGCCCTTCCGCGGAGTAGTACAGCAGCTCGGCGCGCAGCCGCTCCGCGTCCATCCCCGCGTCTTCGTGCACGCGCTGCCCCTCGCGGAACAGCACGTACGACGGCACGCGCGCGCACTGCATGCTCTGCGCCAACCCGCGCAGCTCCGCGCTTTTGTCCGCGAAAATGCGCAGGAACACCGCGTTCGGAAACAACCGCGCAGTTTCCACGAGGGTATGATAAATCCGGTCGGTATTGGGGAGGGTAGACATAGTAACCTCGACTACCGCGAGTCGCCCTTTGTTCTTAGCATCCGCCATCAAACGGTCATATTCTTCGCGGCTCGAGAGGGTTATTACACGCGCCGCTGCGGCCTCTAGCGCGGCGGCCTCCCGCGCGGATGCTTCTGCGGACTCCCGGGACTCCGTGGCGGACGAAGGCGCATGCGCGCCGGTGCTGCGCGTGGCGGCGTCGGCGGAAGATTGCGCGCGGGGGGAGGCTGAAGCGCGCCGCGCGGGGAAGGCGGCGGCTACGTGTGGAGGGATGGCGCTGGGTAAAGTTGGGAAAAGCAGAGAGCGACGGAGATCCAGAGAGCGTGCTGACGTGGCGCGCGGGATAATGGCACCAGCAGGTGCTGTTTTCGCTAGGGAGCTGCAGCACACGACTTGGTGAGCCATGACGGAGACGGGGTTCGCACGCGACAGAGCTAACGAAGTGCGATACGTGGCGGCGGCGGGTTCGTGCGCGAGTGCTACCACCAGTAACCACCAGCCCTTGTCTAACAAGTTTACCTTTGATAAGGCAGCTGAAAAGGAAGCCGCTGCTTGGATTCGGATGCAGGCGCGCGGTGATTGAAAGGGATGAGCCGTCAATTCTAAGAGCCGTGAAGTTACCACTAGCTAGGGGTGATTCTGTAAATTGGAAATACAAACTTGACTGTCAGAACAATTTGAGCTGAATTGGGGTGGAAGCCTCGTTTTTTCCTTCAAAACCCAACCTAACCGTTTTAAATCGTCCATATTTCGTATATATCCTTACTGAACCGTACTTCTTGACTCTGAAACTCCCAGAGCCGATTGACGACGTATTCACGGCATCTCGCGGCATCTCGCGGCCTAGCGATGATTGGTTGGAATACAGTACTGTACGCACCACCAGCTCACATCACAGGATTCTTCTGTTCGGTTCAGGTGCCCGCCTTTCTGCGCGTGCCCAGCATGCCTCCGCCAAATACACCGCCGATAATTTGGCTTGGCGCGCTGTACACCGCCGGCACTAATTCAGGTTGCACGAAGGCCATTCAGTGTTGCTGTGGTGAAAATGAGAGGCATTCAACAAAACCAAGTTGCGCACTTGAAATTTACAGAGATAGTTGTACAATTTCATATGTTGGGTTCCAGAGAAGCCTGGGGAACTTGAAATTTACAGAGATATGTTTTCTGCCATCAGCTGATCCGGAACTGACGTGGACATTGCGCATCCACGCCGTTCCCATTCTCGCGCGATTATTTCGTCTCATCATTGGCCAGTAGCAGCCGCGGAAGTGACAGCCTGGACGCCATAGATGCTTCCGCGCGAACAGCATCCCCGAAAGAACAGAAAGCTCGGGCTGCTACACGTGACAACAACCCACAATGAACAACGGACACCAAAATAAATGCCAACAACATAGCTCTCCATAACAAGCACTGATGATATATCAATGTACAGATCCTTGAGCAAAAAAGTGTTTAGTGACAAGGATATGCCATGATCCTATTGGCACCATATGTATAGACAATGCCGAGAGATTATCCCCAAACCCCAAACCATGAAGAAGTTCAGTGCTAAAAAAACTCCGGGTCATCCTAACAGCAACTTTAATTCAGCTCCACCGGTACCTGATTACAGCAGCAGTTGCGGCAGGATCGGTCTAAGCGTATTAAACGGCACAGCAGGAGCCGTCTCCTCCGCTTCCATAGCTCGCCTGAAACACTCTGCAGCAGCACCCACATCCCCTCTCCCTCTCTCCACCAATCCCAGCACATGCCACGCACGCGCATCAAACCCATCACCAGATACCACCTCCCTCAGGTACACCTGCGCGATGTGCAGCCACTCCCCGCCCATCCGCAGCAGCAGGGCTCCCAGCCGCGCCTTGCTGGCAGCGTGCCATTGGTCGATGGCCAGGGCACTGCGGTAACATGCGAGAGCCTCCTCGGGGCAACCTCTCGCCTCTTCAAGCATGCCTGGAGGAATAATGAGAGAGGCAGGACGTGAGAGTATGAGAGTGAGGAGGGAGGGGGGATGGTGCTGACCAATGGCCAGGGCACTGCGGAAGCAGGCAAGGGCCTCCTCGGGGCAGGCTCTCGCCTCTTCTAGCATGCCTGGGTGAGTGAGCGGGAGAGGATATGTTAGGGAGGAGGGAGTGGGGGAGATTGTTTGATGGCCAGAGCGCTGCGGTAGCAGGCAAGGGCCTCCTGGGGGCACCCTCGCTCCTTCTAACATGCCTGGAGGGAAGGGGGAGAGAGGATGGGAGAGTGGCGATGTGAATGATAACGTGAGAGTGAGGGTGAGGGAGTGGGGATGGAGGGGCGGAACGACCAGTTGACGGCCAGCGCACTGCGGAAGCAGGCAAGGGCCTCCTCGGTGCAGCCTCTCGCCTCTTCTAGCATGCCTGGGGGAGAGGGGGTGAGATAAGAGAGAGGGGGGAGGCGGGGGGAAGATTGTTCAATGGCCAGGGCACTGCAGTAGCAGGCAAGCCTCAGGACAGCCCCTTGCTTCTTCTAGCATGCCTGGGGAGGGTGGGGAGAGAGAGGACGTGAGAGTGGAAATGTGTGGGGAGGGACTGGTTGTGGGCAGTGCAATGCAACAGCAGACAAGGGATTCTGAGGGGCCTGTACTTGGCATCTTCTTGCACGACTAGAGTGGAAAGGAAGGGTGACTGAGAGTGCGGGGAGGGGAGGAAGGGAGTGGTGGGGAGGGAGAAGAAGGGGAGGGGAAAATTGTGGATTATGGAGGAAAAGGGCGTTGGAAAATAGGGATGGGGAGGGGCTAGAGCTTCGAAATCAGGGATATTCTAACGGCTCTGGAACTCCCACCCACCATCCTATCACACGCTTCTGTAACGAATCCCAGATCTGGTTTCCACGTTCCAACTACACTGGTAGCATATCAACTTTCTTGATGACTCACCTGCCACCATCCACGTGTCAGCAGAGTACGGGTCCAGCGTGTGGCACTTGGCCACACAGAGGTCGGCATCTGCTGCTCGCCCGCCGGCCAGATACGCCTCCGCCAGGCCCTGCCACACCACTGCTTCCGTTACTGAGCCGCCCTGTGTTGGGAGGGAAGAGGAGAAGAACCTTATTTTCTGAGTCAACTGAAAAGCCAGATACGCCTCCGCCAGGCCCTGCCACACCACTGCTTCCGTTACTGAGCCGCCCTGTGTTGGGAGGGAAGAGGAGAAGAACCTTATTTTCTGAGTCAACTGAAAAGCCAGATACGCCTCCGCCAGGCCCTGCCACACCACTGCTTCCGTTACTGAGCCGCCCTGTGTTGGGAGGGAAGAGGAGAAGAACCTTATTTTCTGAGTCAACTGAAAAGCCAGATACGCCTCCGCCAGGCCCTGCCACACCACTGCTTCCGTTACTGAGCCGCCCTGTGTTGGGAGGGAAGAGGAGAAGAACCTTATTTTCTGAGTCAACTGAAAAGCCAGATACGCCTCCGCCAGGCCCTGCCACACCACTGCTTCCGTTACTGAGCCGCCCTGTGTTGGGAGGGAAGAGGAGAAGAACCTTATTTTCTGAGTCAACTGAAAAGCCAGATACGCCTCCGCCAGGCCCTGCCACACCACTGCTTCCGTTACTGAGCCGCCCTGTGTTGGGAGGGAAGAGGAGAAGAACCTTATTTTCTGAGTCAACTGAAAAGCCAGATACGCCTCCGCCAGGCCCTGCCACACCACTGCTTCCGTTACTGAGCCGCGCTGTGTTGGGAGGGAAGAGGAGAAGAACCTTATTTTCTGAGTCAACTGAAAAGCCAGATACGCCTCCGCCAGGCCCTGCCACACCACTGCTTCCGTTACTGAGCCGCCCTGTGTTGGGAGGTAAGAGGAGAAGAACCTTATTTTCTGAGTCAACTGAAAAGCCAGATACGCCTCCGCCAGGCACTGCCACACCACCGCCTCTGTCACTGAGCCGCCCTGTGTGGGGGGTGGACGAGGAGAAGAGAATGTGTTGGGAGAGCATATGAGTTGACTCAACAAACAGATATGCCTCCGCCAGGCACTGCCACACCACTGCTTCTGTCACTGAACCGCCCTGTGTGGGGGGTGGAAGAGGAGAAGAGTCGTCTTTTTTAGGTCAACTCAAGCATCAGATACGCCCCTGCCAGGCACCAACACCACTGCTTCTGTCACTGAACCGCCCTGTGTGGGGGGTGGAAGAGGAGACGAGAATGGGACGAAATAACATATGCCAGACGCTGAGCCGCCCTGTGTTGGGGGGGAGAGGAGAAGAGAAGGCAGACGATATGCCCTTCTGCCAACTCAACAACCAGATACGCCTCCGCCAGGCCAGGCACTGCCACACCACCGCCTCTCTCACTGAGCCGCCCTGTGAGGGGGGTTGGGATGGGAGGAGGAGAGGGAAAGGACTGGTTCGGAATAAGGTATGCTTGAAGCCATGCTTCCAACCAACCAAGTGAGTGAGTGGTAACCATGCGACATGTGATCTACAATGCTCCCAACCATGCTTTGACTCATTCAGTAGCTGAGTTAGTGGGTGCCACGACTCGATCAACCACCACAACGTACCACCATACCTCCACACTACCGCGTTACTGCATTTGCCACACTGCCACACTGCCATCTCCACATGCTCCCCCCCACCAACTCCCCCTCTCCCTTTCCCTCCCTTCCTCCCTGTCCCACCGGCTCTGTCTCTCACCATGTCGCCTCGCTTTTGCCGTGCCTGCACAACAGCCATGGCTTGCTTTAAGCTCTGGAAGTACTATCTTTACCCCATCCCCCCTTCCCTCCCTCCCTCCCTCCCGCCCCCACCCCCCCTGCTCTCACCATATCGCCTCGCTTCTGTCGTGACTGTACAGCAGCCATGGCTTGTTTCAAGCTCTCCACAGCCTCACCAACGCCTGCACTCACACCTCCGCCTAGAGTCACACCACCACTGCCATCCGCCCCGCCTCCACCTTCCCCCTCCCCTCCTCCTCCCCCTAGCTCCGCACTTGCTAGGTGCACCTTAGCGTGCAGCACCAGCAGCGCTGCCCTTGCGCCCTCCCCTTTCTCCCCCCCATCCGCTCCCCCTCCCCCTGCGCCCCCCGCGCCCCCCGCTTTCTTCATGGCGGCTTCCCCCACGCGGCACATGTCTTCCGCGTCCTTGAATCGCTGCTGACACGTCAGCAGCAGCGCAAGCAGCTGCCACGTCAGCAGCCACTGTCCGCCGCCGGCTTTCAGCGCGCGCTTCGCGACCTTCAGCGCCTCGCTGACGTGGCGCTCTTCGGCCAACGCGAGCGCGAGATCCACCATTACAGCTGCTGACGTGGCATCATCTTCTGACGCCTGGGTTAGCGACTCGACGGCGCGTTTAAGACTCAGCTCACGCCGAGTCGCGGAGATATCGTGGCTGCGCGAGTGTAGCAGGAGATTAACTCCCAGCGCGTGGAGCGCCTTAGCGCGCTGCGGGCCGCTGCTGGCGGCGAGCTCGACGGCGCGTTCGCCGTAGCGCACGCCCTCCTCGCTCCACGTGTCACGCCGCGCGCAAATCACGGACGCGAGAATAAGGGACGGAACGTGATCGGGCCGCTCTGAAGGCTGAATCGCGTTTCGGACGACGTCTAAAGCGAGCGCCTCGTCGCTACTATTGTCGTTAACATCCCCGCCTCCCGAGGCGTCATTTGCGCCACCCGCGGGGGAGCTAGCGGGGTCCGCGGGGTTCGGGGAACCGCCCGCGGAGGCGGATACAGCTGCGCGGAAATGCGCGCGCGCAAGGCGGAAGAAAAGGTCGCTACGCGGAACGGCGTCGGGGGGAAGCGCGAGGAGATCCGCGACGGACTCCGCGCCCCCGTTGACCTCCGCGCCGAGTCCTAGCCCGTCCGCTGGACCGCCCATGGCGTCAGTGGTGAGGGGACAGGACCGCGCGCAGGCAGACACGGGCGGAAGGAGGGCAAGGAGAGAGCCAGGGGAATAGATGGGGGAATGGATGGACAGTGGGCGGAGACGAATGCGTTGCCTCAGAACAATGACTCTACAAGAAACGGCAAGCGCGTGAACACGAGAGTTTTCCTAGCCCCTGCTCCACTGGGGGGCACTGACTGTACTCGGATCGCAGTAACTTCGAAACGACCAGGCCGCGCGTGTTAGTATGCACAGCTACTACGCAAAATTGCTGCCTAGACTAGCATTATAATCCAAATGTGGAATCTTGTAGCGCGGTTGTCACGCTGCGCGAGCTAATAATAGTTGACAAGGAGGGGTGAAGTGGGTTTGAGAACGATGGCGAGAGTTTGAAACATTTTTGCGTGGGTTGACGAGAGTGGAATTGGGATTGAGCGGAGCAGGCGTGACAAGTTCGAGGGAGAGGCCGAATTCCTTCGATACAAGAAGTTTGCGTTAAAAACAACACTATGAGACCATACGTAACACTCATACTTGGATCAACTGTACTTACAGGTCGCAATCCTAGGTGGATGACGCTTCCCAAACAACAGGAATGAACACCATAAGAGTTCCCACTTTGTAATAAGATCAAACACTTACTCAACCAACCCCTGCTTCTCCTTCACCCGCCCCTGCTCGGCCTTGCTAGGGCAAGCACCAACACCCCCTCACCTCTTGCCATCCTTACCATCCTTACCTCTCTATTTCTTCTGTGGCTCACCCACAAACCCTGCAGCATGGCCCTCCCTCCCCTCCACCACCCTCACCGCATCAATCGCCAGAGCCACTCTCGGCATGAAAGCACCCACCGCTTCCCCATCCCCTCTTATAAATATAAGCCTCTTCTTCAGCAACACCATACAAGAGTGATTTTCTTGTCCACTCAATAGTCGCCTCCATAACTGCTCCACAGCCTCCCTTTGTACTTCCACATATAAGCCTCTTCTTTATCAACCCTGTACCCATCCACCAGCTCCCTATTCACACTGTGCATCTTCTCCCGCACGTTCTTCGGCCGCTTGTCCGCAAAGCAAGCGCGTGGCACACCGCTTCTCGCACTCCTCACGTGCACAATAGGAGTCTCAGGCAACTGCCTCCTCTGCTTCTCCCAGTAGAACGAGCGACGTGAGATGCAGTACAGGGCGAGAGAGGGACAGAATTCGCGCAGGGCAGCAAGGGTTTGCTGCTCGCATGTGCTGGTGGGGTAAAAGATTGCTCGCAAATTTGGAGCCATGATAAACGGAGGCCTTGCTTCTTGCTGCTGCCCCTCCTGCTCCTCCTCCCCCTCCTCCTGCTGCTGCTGCTGCTGCTGCTGCTGCCACTGCTGCTGCAGAAACCTCTGGTTGCGCTCCTGGAAGTCTTCCACTGTAACCTCCCTCTCACCATCATCCCGTCGCTTCTCAACCTTCAAATCCACCTCAAACCGCTCCTCACTCTCCACGACAATCCCAAGGCTGCGCAGGCTGCTCCACGGAGCATCAACCCCCTCTACAGGCATCCCATGCCTCACTATAAGCACCTCCACTGTTGGCGCTATATTGCACAGCCATTCAGCCCAGGAAAATGCAGCAGAGCTGCGGCGGTGCACGTTCTCCCTGTCAGGAGAAATTTCAGGTGAACTTTCAGGTGACAACGCAGGAGATTCCAGGTAGGAAGAATATTCATCATTGTGGGCGTGGAGGTCTTTGGGAGGGCCGTTGAGATAGGCAACTCGCACGGAAGCGACGCGGAGGGAGGAGATGACAAGCCGCACAGGAAGAGGTGTTGGAGAGCGAGAGGTTCCGTGCTCTTGCATGAGAGCACGAGCTGTTTTGCCATGGCTGAAAAAGCCTTGAGCGAGCGAGAGAGGGTGAGGGAGAGCGTGAGGCTGCTGTGCGGGAAGTAAAAGCGGACGGTTTGAGCGTTTGACAAGTTGAAAGTGAATGTGCCGCCGCCACTGAGGCCTGAGGTTCGGGGGTCCAAATCCCAGCTATGATAGAGAACGAATTCCGTGAGCCGCGGTGTGACCACGCCCAAATACTTCATATCCACGTAGCTCCAATCCATGTGCTTGAGAGTCAAGCTGCGCAGCGATTTGAACCGCTCAGCCCAGCCTTCCTGGAGACTCCACTTGCCCCGGCCGAGCTTCAGCCGCTGCAGAGCCGGGCAGTCAAAGGAGTGGGTCCAGGACTCCTCATCCTCTTCGTCCCCTTCATCCTTATAATCCTTATATGGATCGTCTTCAAACCTGTCGGATTTGTCGACACAGATGCGCAGCTTGAGACTGAGGGAGGTGAGGGCAGTGAAGGGCCGGCGGAGTGGCGAGTCGAGGTCTTCGAGCTGCTCCTTGTCTGTGTAGGTGAGCGCGAGGGATCGGAGGCGGTGGCGCTGGCGCAGGAAGAATTCGACGCTCAGCGACTTGTACCCCTCAGCGACTTGTACCCCTCAGCGACTTCTCCCTCATGTTCTTCGGCCGCTTGTCCGCAAAGCAACCGCATGGCACACCGCTTCTCACCTTCCTCACATGCACCACAGGGGTTTCTGGCAACTCCTTTCTTTGCTTCTCCCAGTAGAACGAGCGACGTGAGATGCAGTACAGGGCGAGAGAGGGACAGAATTCGCGGAGGGAAGTAAGGGTTTGCTGCTCGCATGTGTGGGTGGGGAAGAAGATTGCTAGCAAGTTTGGAGCCAAGATAAACAGAGGCCTTTCTTCTTGCTGCTGCCCCTCCTGCTGCTGCTCCTCCTCCTCCCCCTCCTGCTGCTGTTGCAAAAGCTGCTGCTGCAAACGTTGCTGCTGCAAAATCTGCTGCTGCAAACGTTGCTGCTGCTGTAAAAGCTGCTGCGGCTGCAACTGCTGCTGCTGCCGCTGCCGCGGCCGCTGCCTCCGCCGCTGCTGTTGCAACAGCAGCTGCTGCTGCTGCTGCTGCTGTTGCTGCTGCTGCAGCTGCTGCTGCTGCTGCAAAAGCCGCCGCTGTTCAGCTTGCTGCTGCAAAATCTGCTTCTGCAAGTGCTCTCGCTGCTGCTGCCGCTGCTGCAGCAGAAATTCCTCCACTGTAACCTCCCTCTCACCATCATCCCGACGCTTCTCAGCCTTCAAATCCACCTCAAACCGCTCCTCTCTCTCCACGACAATCCCAAGGCTGCGCAAGCTGCTCCATTCCGCATCAACCTCCTGTACAGGCACCCCATGCCTCACTATAAGCACCTCCACTGTTGGCGCTATAGGGGCCAGCCATTCAGCCCAGGAGAATGCAGCAGGGCTGCGGTGGTGCACGCTCTCCCTGTCAGGCAAAAGTTCAGGTGAAACTTGAAGGGAAAATTCGAGAGGGTCCAGGTAGGACGAATATTCGTCCTTGAGGGAGCGGTTGTCTTTGGGAGGGCCGTTGAGGTAGGCAACTCGCACGGAAGCGAGGCGGAGGGAGGAAATGACAAGACACTGCTGGCCGTACAGGAAGAGGTGGTGGAGAGCGAGGGGTTCGGTGCACTTGCATGAGAGCACGAGCTGTTTTCCCATCGCCGTGAAGGTTGTGAGCGAAGAAGAGAGTGTGAGGGAGAGCGTGAGGGTGCTATGCGGGAAGTAAAAGCGTACGGTTTGAGCTTTTGATAAGTCGAAAGTGAATGGTTTGCGGACCGAACTCCAGCTGTGATAGAGAACGAATTTTGTGAGTTGCGGCGTGAGCGTGGCGAGATACTCAAGATCCACATAGCTCCAATCCATGTGCTTGAGAGTCAAGCTGCGCAGAGACTTGAACCGCTCAGCCCAGCCTTCCTGGAGTCTTCACTTGCCCCGGCCAAGCTTCAGCCGCTGCAGAGCCGGGCAGTCCAAGGAGAGGGTCCAGGACTCCTTCTCCTGCTCCTCTTCGTACTCAATCTCCGCATATTTTTTATAACGGTAGTCATAGTTATCGGATTTGTCGGCGACAGTGCCGCGCAGCTTGAGACTGAGGGTGGTGAGGGAGGTAAAGGGCTGGCGAAGTGGCGAGTCACGGTATCTGAACTGCTCCTTGAGTGGCGAGTCAAGGTATCTGAGCTGCTCCTTGTTCGTGAAGGTGAGGGCGAGGGACCTGAGGCGGTGTTGGCGAGGGACCTGAGGCGGTGTTGGCGAAGGAAGGATTCGACGCTCTTGATCCACTGCGGGTGTAGCTCGTTGTATACCAGTGCGATGGGGTGGTCAGCCTGTAGGGAGAGTCAAGGGCGAAATAATGGAGACATTGGAAGGCTGTTTGAGGACTAACCCGCTCTAGGGGTCCATGATCTAAGATCGAACGCATGATTTGAATAGTGCGACGATTTTGATCCACTAGGGGTGCACCTCGATGCAATCAGTGCGATGGGGTGGTGGGTCTGCGGAGCAGAGAGGAACGGAGAGGATTGGAGGAGAGAAGGTGATACGTCTGGAATAGGAGTAAGGGACGGGAAGGAACGGACTTGGTTTGGAGTTGTCAAATAAAATATTGTAGGACCCGCTTTAAGACCAATCAGCTACTTTCTTTAAAGTCTAAGAATCTCACATCCGAAGCATGGTGGAACTTAAAAAGGCGTGGTTTCAAAGCCAAGGAGAGCAAGTGCAGAGCAGAGCGCAGAGCAGAGCACAATTCACAGAGAAGGAGAGGACGAGTGAGAGGAGCCTCTTGCTGGCCATGGCGCAGCACAGCAGGGCAAAGCGGGTGAGGCATGTTAAGGTGACTTACGGAAAAGGAGAGGACGAGCGAGAGGAGCCTCTTGCTGGCCATGGCGCAGCACAGCAGCGCCCACCCACTGCCATAGCTCCTCTCGTTCTTCCAGTGCTGCCCGACTGGCGTGAAATATGGGTCCACAAATTTCACGGGCAGGTCTTTGCGCGCTGTGGGCTGCTCTTTCGCGGCGAGATACCATGGAGTGATTTGTCTGGCCCGGACAAGGTCAGTTTCGGGGTGGGAGGAGCCGGGCGGCAGCAGCAGGTAGCGGAAAACTTTGTGCCAGAGGTACTCTGGCAGCATGTCTATGGTATCATTGGGGGTGGCGGCTGGAAGGAAGGATGGGTGAGACGGGTGGGAAGGGGATTGATGGGGGAAAGAATTAGGGAATGATTTCAAATAGAGTTTTTAAAAACAAAGTGTTATAGTTGTTTGTTTTTGTAGCAGCTGTGATTGCAATGGGCATGTACGGCATGTAGGGCTTTGGAGTGGAATTGTTTTTAGTTAGATTTTTAGCCGCCAAAATAATGAGATTTTTTTTTTTTTCCGAGTTCTCCGTCTAAGCATCTCCTTTCAAGCACGCGAAGTGCTCAGTTTGAGCACTTACCGTAGGCGCAACTCACCTTACCATCACTAAAAAGACTCCATGGTGCAGAAAGGAGGAGAGAGAGGAAACGAAGAAAAAAGTGGTGCACGGTGAAACGGAATGAGAAGGGAAAATACTAAACGGGGTGCTAGCTAGTTGTTTCGCACTGCGCGTATAGCTCGCGAGTAGAAGGAGAGAAACGGAGAAAGGAGATAATAGGAGGTGGAGGGGAGAGGAACAAACTGACGAAAAATGTCTGGAAGAATAAACTGAAACTCTCAAATGTTTTTTTCTTATCTAAGCAGGGAGGTGAAGTTTAAGTGCTTTTCGTTCGGAGTGATAAGAAGTGGTGAAAAATGGGACGCTGCGTCGCGAAACAACAGCAGCTCTTGCCTTCTGGGTCAGCATTGGTCTTCTGTCTCTTCTCCTCCCGTCGCTCGGAGCGTTATCTCAGTTCGCCAGTAGGCTGCAGCGATGCCATGGAGATTGACGCTTCTTAAGCTCCAGCTTCGTCAATGGCAATCATGCAAGATGCTAATGTGAAATACAAGAATCATGCATTTGCAATCGCCACTTTGAACTCGAGTGCACTTGTCGCGACTATGGTGCCTAGTATTCCGTCCGTGTCTGCTTTGAAACGGCTCTGGCCTTCTGTCCCAAATCTGAATGGCACTGAACTACTGAGTGTCAATGCGATTTGCCCTTTGGAAGAGGTAAGCTCGTTTTCGTTCACTCCAAGGAGGTTCACTCCGGTGCGCAATGGTCTGAAATGGTGAACCGCATAAAAGCAATCACGAACAACGACGAGTCGGCTACACAACTCACCGGTCAACAACTCTGCGAGGCCCACTTTCGCGCAGCGTGTGGACATACTCTCAAATCTTCGCGGCATTTTGTATGCCAAGGTGATGTGCCCCACTGTTAGGCCCGACGGCCTAAGTCCGCTAAAGAATTAGCGGGGTCGACTAAGTCGAGGATAAAGCGCGGCGGAAGGCTTTGGCGAAAAGACTATTGGCGAAATAGGCGAAGAAGTTACTGAGTAATTGAAAGAGAGTTGAATGAGAATTGGTTGATATGAGGGAATACAAGCAAGGTTTATATAGCATGCAAGAAGGAAGGTTGGAAAGTAGAATGTGGGACTAGGAATTGTGAAGCTAGAAAAGTAGAGTGCCACGTGGCACTAGAGAATCTGAGAAGATAAGGATAAGGGTGACTTGGAATGTACTGTTCGGAATGAACAGTAAACACCCCTCTAACACTACCCCCCTCCCAAGGAGGCGACGTCCGCGGCGCCTGCAGACTGAAGGTACGCTTGGAGGCAAGCGTTGTCAGGAGACAGCGAGGACGAAGGGACCCAGCTGTCGTCGGCTGCATCGTAACCACGCCAACGAACCAAGAAGTCGATGAAAGAGACACCCCCCTGGAGACGGCGACGGTGCCTGAGGATGCGCTGGATCTGATAGTCGGGCTCGTCGGTGTCAACAGCTACCGGCAGTGGAGTGCGATCACGGCCCGAGAAGGTGGAGTTGGGATCGGTGTATGGACGAAGGAGAGACACGTGGAATGACGGGTGCATGCGGAAATGAGCGGGAAGGCGAAGGCGGTATGCGACTGGACCAAGTGCGCGCTCAATGACAAATGGACCAATGAAACGTGGGCGAAGCTTGCCGTCCTGTGGCAGTCGGAGGTTGCGGCTATCGAGAAGGACACGGTCACCGACTGAAAAAGACACCTCTCGACAACTGCGGTTGGTGGTGCGTGCCATGCGTGCATTTGCAAGCTCAAGGTGCTTCCTCACATGGTCGTGAATGAAGGTGAGGTGCTGGTGGAAATTGTCCGCACGAGGGACAGTGGGTGTGAGATCGACTCGAGTGGGGACATTGGGGTGCTGACCGTACAGTGCGAAGAACGGTGACATGCCTGTGGCGGAGTGGTGCGTGTTGTTGTATGCGAACTCTGCCATGCTCAGCTTCTTGTCCCATGCGGCTGCGTCGTGCATCGTGATGCTGCGAAGAATCTGCTCCAAAGTCTGGTTCACACGCTCGGTCTGTCCGTCTGTCTCTGGATGGTACGCAGACGACATGGCTAAGCGAGTCCCAAACAGTGCGAAAAGCTGCTTCCAGAACTTCGAGGTGAATCTAGGGTCGCGGTCTGAGATGATGGAATCTGGAACCCCGTGCAGTCGGACTACGTTATCTACGAACAGCGTCGCGGCTTCCTCTGCTGTGACCTGGCCATGCGTGGGAATGAAATGCGCTGCTCGGGAAAACTTGTCCACTACCACGAAGATGGCGTCGTGACCCCTAACTGTACGCGGTAAAGCCATGATGAAATCCATGGTGACTACCTGCCAAGGGCGGTCGGGCGGTGGAATCGGCTGCAAAAGTCCTGCCTTGCGCTGGCGAGAGGACTTTGTATGCTGACACGTGTCGCACGAGCGAATATAATCCTCTACGTCTGCTGCAAGCCCTGGCCAGTAGTACGTGCGACTAAGCGTCTTAGCCGTCTTATCTGCTCCGAAGTGACCTGCATTAACTACGTCATGCGCCTCTGAGAGAAGGAGCTGTCGAAGAGGGCGGTAGGCTGGAACCCAAATCCGTGCTGTACCCTTCCGTATGTAGACACTACCCTGCACCTCTGCTCCTGCGGGCGGCTGTGCTGTGAAGTCAGGATCTACTGTGTAACCGTGCTCGAAGAGTGCTGTGAGAAGTGGATGGCCGGCAGTGACTGTGAGACTAGCGAGCTGGCAACTAGGGCGAGTGAGCGGATCTGCTGGGTTGCGCACGCCTGGCTTGTACTCTATCCTGTAGTGGAAACTCCCCTCCATGAACTCCATCCATCTAGCCTGGCGACGACTCAGCTGCGGCTGCGACTTGAGAAAGCGAAGCGAACAGTGGTCCGTGCGTATAACACTATCTGCCCCCTCTAGGTAGCACCTCCACACCTTATACGCATGGATGATCGCGAGCGCCTCCTTGTCGTGGATCGGATAGTTCAACTCTGCTCCCCTAAGCTTACGCGACTCGTACGCGATCGGCTGCAACCCGCGTCCCTGGTCCTGAAGAAGCACTGCACCTATGGCCTGATCTGAAGCGTCGGTCACTACAACGTATGGGCGAGTGGGATCGGGGTACGACAGTGTCGGTGAAGACGTGAGCGACTGCTTCATCTGCTCGAACGCCTGCTGCTGCGCTGGACCCCAAACGTACTCTACGCCTTTCCGAAGTAGGTCGGTGAGTGGACTAGCGATGGAAGCGTAACCCTGAACGAAACGACGGTAGTAGTTCGCGAATCCGAGAAAGCTCTGCAACTCCTTGACTGAGGTCGGTGCTATCCAATCCTGTACTGCTGCGATCTTCTTCGGGTCGGTCCTAACGCCACTAGCGGAAACGACGTGACCTAGAAACTCGACCTCGGGGAGGAAGAACTCGCACTTAGACTGCTTCGCGTACAGCTTCTCCCTCCGCAAGACCTCAAAGACCCTCTGCAAGTGCTGCACGTGCTCCTCCTTCGACTTGGAAAAGATGAGGATGTCGTCTAGGTAAACTACGACGAACGAACCTAGGAACTCCGAGAGGACTGTGTTCATGAGCGTCTGGAACGTTGCTGGGGCGTTGGTCAAACCGAACGGTAGTACCCTAAACTCGTACAACCCCTGCTTCGTACGAAACGCCGTCTTGTGCTGATCCTCTGGAACTACGCGAATCTGGTGGTAACCCGAACGAAGGTCGATCTTGGAAAATACTCTAGCGCCCTGCACTGCATCTAGGAGATCCTCTACTCTCGGCACCGGGAATCTGTTCTTGACGGTGGCGGCGTTCAGTGCGCGGTAATCTATGCACATCCGTAACCCTCCGTCTTTCTTAGGCGCGAACAGGATCGGTGCTGCCCAAGGCGATCTAGATGGCTGTATGAACCCCTGCGCGAGAAAGTGCCTAACCTGCTGCGTCATCTCCTCTGTCTCTGCTGGACTCAACCTCCACTGCGGCTTCGCTACTGGCTTGCTCCCCGGCTCCAACTCTATTCGATGGTCTACTGCTCGGCTGGGAGGTAACCCTGGGGGCAACTCGTCGGGGAAGACGTCTGCGAACTCTGCTAACAGTGCACTCACCTCAGCAGGAAGAGTCGCCTTCTCACTAACTGCTGCACTCCCTCCTTTCCCCTCCTCAGCTTCAACCTCCTCAAGGAAAACCGCGAAGATCCGTGCCGCACGCTTCACTAACTGTCGCACACGAACAGCATTAATGATAGCTGTGGATGATGTGGCCCCATCGCTCCACTGTGGCAGCTCCCGGAACTCCCCGTCTACCTTGACACTACAGCTTCCCAGAGCCCAATCGAACTGTGTACTAACCGTCCGTAGCCAGTCTCTCCCGAAGATGAAATCGTAACCGTCCAGCGTCGCAGAGTCAAAGTCACGCCTAACAGTGATCGGTCCTAGCACTACGCGCAACTTGCGAATGACTGGTCCTATGTGAAGCGGCGTCCCATCTACCATGCGAGCGTCCTTGAAGTTGACTGCCGTATCTGCTTCGAGATGGAGACGACTAACTAATGAAGACGAAACGAACGAGTGGCTAGCTCCGCTATCGACGAGAATCTTAACAGGAACTCCGCGAAGCTTCCCTAGAAGCACGACTGGACGATCAACAGTGTCTACCCCGTTCTCCGTAGATGACTGCTGCAAGGCCGTCTCCTCTACGTTGGTAGACGTGGCGGGTACGGGAACCTCCACACCAGCTAGCGACCCGCTATCTACTGGCGGTTTCCGTTTCCCTGCTGCTGCTCCTTGAACTGTGGGCAGTCCCGCTTCATGTGACCCGGCTTTTTGCAGTAGTAACAGTTCCCCCTAAAACCCGTCCGCTGTGAACCGTCACTGTTAACTGCACCAATCTCCATGGGCGATGGTCCGTCCCTCGATCGAGCGTCGTTGATCGGTCTGCTGTATCCCCTATCGCGATCGTCACGACCCCGTCGGCTTCGTACTGCGTCGACGCGTTCTGCTGCTGCGACTACTGACTCGAAGGTGGACAACCCATGAATCGCTATGACCTCCGCTATGTCCGGCTTCCGTGATGTCGTCTATCTCGTTGCAGATACTCAAGAACCGTCGTGTGTACTCCTGGACGTTCCCTATCTGGCGGAAATGACGCAGACGCTTCCTAGCAGCTTCGGAGGCGTTCACCAAGTCGAACCTACTTTTCAGCGCCGCTTCAAATCCTTCCCATGTGGTCGGAACCGTGGTAACACCCAAAGCTAAACTCCCTAAGCTCGAAGTTGCAGCTGCATGCCCCACGCCCTGTTGATGCCCGTCCGTCTGAGCCCTTCTAACAGCAGTCTGCGTAAGTTGGCGCCACCACTCCAAGGCCGGCCCCCTCAACAGCGTCACGGCATACTCAATCCGCTGCTGCGCGTCCGCCTCTTGCACCCCGCTCGCGGCGAAGTAGTTGTTGAGCATGAAGAGCCACGTCCGCACGTTCGCGTCGCGCTGACTTGGGTCGAACGACTCCGGTTTCTGCGGCTTGAGCGCGCTTCGACGTTCCGGTATCGCTTCCGCGCCAGTCGACGTGGTGGGTGCAGGAGTTGGTACGGCATAACCATGGGGGTTAGAAGCCAATTCACGAAGCTGTTGCATTTCAGCTCGTACCTGACGATTTTCCAACGTCAACTCTTGAAGTTGGCGCATGAGTTCGGCAAGCGCGTTGCCCATGTCTTGGGGGAGAGCGTTCATGGTCTCGTCCATGTTGGCTCGACGACTCCAAGTCTGCAAGTCGGCACCGCGGGACGATGACGGCGTAGTCTCGTCGTCGACGGTCGCTCGTTGGAAGTCGCTCCCCGCGAAGGCTCTTGATACCAAGTGTTAGGCCCGACGGCCTAAGTCCGCTAAAGAATTAGCGGGGTCGACTAAGTCGAGGATAAAGCGCGGCGGAAGGCTTTGGCGAAAAGACTATTGGCGAAATAGGCGAAGAAGTTACTGAGTAATTGAAAGAGAGTTGAATGAGAATTGGTTGATATGAGGGAATACAAGCAAGGTTTATATAGCATGCAAGAAGGAAGGTTGGAAAGTAGAATGTGGGACTAGGAATTGTGAAGCTAGAAAAGTAGAGTGCCACGTGGCCAGGCCCTCAGAAGTCAGACTTTTTTCTCTGATTTGGGCTTTTTTCTCTGATTTGGGCTTTTTTCTCTGATATTTCAGATTTTTTTTCCTGTGTACTCTGATAAAATCAGACTTTTTTGGGCCTCAACTCTGTAATTTTCAGACTTTTTCTAAGGCTAACTCTGAGAGTTCAGAGTTTTCTGAGAGTGTACTCTGATCATTCAGAGTACAAACGCGTCCTTGACTGGTGATTCGGACTTACGGGTCACAGCAGATTCGCACTGCCAAAGCAAAATCGCCTTGACACAGCAAATCCAAGCCTTACATCACAAGATTTTCGCCCAATCATAGGCAAATCGCTTTGACACAACAGATTTGCGTTGTCAGAGCACCACAATTTTCGCCCAATCACAGCAAAATCGCCCTGACATTGCACATTCGCCTTTTCGCACCACAAGATTCGCCCTGACACATATGTTCGCCCTGTCAGAGCATGTTTTATCGAAAATCCCCTTAGTGTAGCATGTTTCGGTAGCAGATTAATGAAACATTGAATACACTTCCGATGAAACATTTAATACATTGATTTTGAATGATCATACTTTTATTTTACAGACACTCTGACATTTCAGCCTTTTTTTTTTACTAAGTCTGAGATTTTCAGACTAAAATTGTGTACTAGTCTGACGAATCAGACAGGCCTAAAACGAATCTGAGAGCCTGCACGTGGCACTAGAGAATCTGAGAAGATAAGGATAAGGGTGACTTGGAATGTACTGTTCGGAATGAACAGTAAACACCCCTCTAACACCCAGAGTGCGAAACTTGTTACAGTATTGTGTCTAGCAGTAGAAGCATATTATATTCCTACTAGTTAGCAATGGAACCAATAAGCCGCCTCATAATGTTCTAGCGGTGGAAGCTTTCTCAGCCCGAACGGCCTTCCCAACTGGTGGAGTCAAAACGCTCTGGTTCTCCTGCAGAAGTTCCTCTGCTCTCTGCTCTGCCCCGATGTTAATCAGCGCCCTGTGCACCTGCATCACCATCCCTTCATCCAGGTTCACACCCAGCTCTATCATGCTGCCATACACCTGCGAACATACATGCACACATGCAAAGAGCAGAGGAGGAGCATGAGAGCACCATTGGCAGAGGGCATTCCGTGGGCCTGCATCACCATGCCCTCGTCCACGTTCACACCCAGCTCTATCATGCTGCCATACACCTGCAAGCATGAATAGATGCAGCGATGAGAGAGGGAGATGGGAGCATGGGAACACCAGTGATTGTCTTGTGAACCTGGTTACATCACCAGTCTGTGCAACACCATGCTGCCAGCATTGCATGCACCGACCACACAGGACCGCACAGGACAGTACATAGCAGCACAGAAACGCACAGCACCTGACTGAACTGCACATAACCGCTATAAACCGCACTGAGCTGCACAGAACCATACCTCGAGAACTTTAAGCGGCCGTCCCTGCTGCGAGTACAGGCTCATCACGCGTGCAAACGTGGCACGCGGCACGGTGTCCAGGTGGCGGCCCATGATTCGCTCCCACGTGCCATCCAGCTCAGCATGGCGTCCCGTGGCAGCCATGGCCTCCATCATCAGGTCATATGTCCCAAAGGTGCGTCCCTGCCCTCTTGCAAGCATCCACTTGCACACCTGGTGCGGATACGGGTGGGAGTGTGGTTGAGAGGTGCATGAATCCCAGATGAGCATGGAGCCCCGTGGCAGCCATGGCCTCCATCATGAGATCATATGTGCCGAACGTCCGCCCCTGCCCTCTTGCCAGCATCCACTTGCACACCTGGTGGGGATACGCGTGGGAGAGTGGGTGAGAGGTGCATGAACCCCAGCTCAGCATGGCTCCCCGTGGCGCCCATGGCCTCCATCACGGGATCACACATGCCGAACGTGTGCCCTTGACCCCACAAGAGCCAGCCAGCCAGCATCCGCTTGCATATTTGGTGGGTAGCGGGGGTTGATTGTGAGACATTCTTTTTAGGGTGAAAATTTTCTCCAAATCAGCTTCTTCGGTAATCAACACCCCACAAGAGCCAGCCAGCATCCACTTGCAGATCTAATGGGTCGCAGGGGGGGGAGGCGAAAAAAAGGGATTGCAGCTCGCAGATATTAGTCCTCCTTGCTGCGATCTCTTTCCCCGCCCTGCAGATAGTGTGAGGTAGCAGTCTTCCCTTCTCCCTCCTTGCACCACTGCTCCTCCTCACCTGCAATGCCCCCTTTCACTCGCTCCCTTCCTGCACAATACTCAGCACGCGTTAGACGGCAAGCAGGGGGGAAGGGGCTGAAAGGCTGCCCATACGTCCAGAATCCATCTTGGCACCCTGTTGTTGCACCTGTCTGTGCTGTTCTCTCCCTCCCACCTGCAATATTCTCTTTTACTAGCGCCCCCCCCTGCATGATCCTCAGGGCCGTTTGACGGCCAGCAGGGGGAAGTCTAGCTGGAAGGCGGCCCATGCGTCGAGTCCAGCGTGCATCTTAACACCCTGTCGTTGCACCTATCTGTGCTGCTCTCTCTCGCTCCTCCTCACCTGCAGTATTCGCTTCCACTGGCCCTCCTGCTGCATGATTCTCAACGCGCGTTTCACGGCCAGCAGAGGGAAGTCTAGCTGGAAGGCCGCCCATGCGTCGAGAGCTCTGTACACGTCCTCCTTGTTGTCTGGCACGTCACGGATCTGACAATAACGAGTATGGAAGGGAGTTGGATGTGACAAGACAAGACGAGCGAGTGAGGGTGAATGAGTGAGTGTGTGAGTGGGTGGAAGTGAAAGGCTACGTGCGAGGGAGTGAAGGAGTGAATGGGGGAAGGAAGGCGCATGTGCCAGTGCACACACAATCACTCACAGCAGCAATGAGAGCATTGGCGCGCCCCCCAATGTTCCGCGTGTCCTTCTTCTTCCATGAGCAGTACACGCGCTGGAAAGGGGCGAGGGGGTGGGGAAATGGGGGAGGAATAAAGGGATGGGATAAAAGGGGGAACGGGGTAGTGTTGGCGCGCCCCCCAATGTTCCGCGTGTCCTTCTTCTTCCATGAGCAGTACACACGCTGCCATGGGAGGAGGGGGAAGAGGAAGGTGGAAGGGTGGGAAAACGAGTTGCTTTCCCCTCAATGTTCCGCGTGTCCTTCTTGCGACATGAGCACAACACACGCTGCCATGGGGGGAGGGGAATCGGGAAGGGGGAAGGCGAGGGAGGAGGCGGTAAGGAGGGGGGAGGAGTTGGGAAAGGGTTGGGCTACCCGCCAATGTTCTGCATGTCCTTCTTGCGCCATGAAATCAGCACACGCTGCCATGGGAGGAGGGGGAAGAGGAAGGTGGAAGGGTGGGAAAACGAGTTGCTCTCCCCTCAATGTTCCGCGTGTCCTTCTTGCGCCATGAAATCAGCACACGCTGCCATGGGAGGAGGGGGGAGAATTGAAGAGAGGGGGAAACAAGAGTTGACTCCCCCCCAGTGTTCCGCGTGTCTTCTCTCCGCCACGGGCAGAGGAACATTGTGCCATGGGTTGGGGGGAGAGGGGAGAGGGGAGAGGGGAGAGGGGAGAGGGGAGAAAAGAGGCGTGGGGGAAACGGCGCACCCACGATAGAATGCTAGTCAGGGCGACTTTCCAGGGTAAGTGAGCAGCAGGAAGCGACTCGATCAGAAAGAAGCGACTCGATCAGCAGGACGCGACGCATAGTACCAGTGGCTGTCGCGGCGGCGCGGTAGTGGATTCCCGCTGGCGGGGCGCCGCGAATCGCCCGACTCGCGGAACGAGCGGATTGCAGAACCGGAGGCACGAGGACAACGACGTGACTGTAACGGGGGTGACTAAAGCGCGCGACGTGACCGTAGAGGGTGTGACGTAAGCGCGCGAAGTGGCTGTAGCGGAGACTAGAGCGCGCGATGTGGCTTGGAATTGAACAACCGCCCTGGGAGCGGTTAAGCGGAGCATTAGCGGCCGAGACTCGCGGGAGGAATGGAGTCGAAAGAAGTAGTGAGGTTGGTAGCGGGTCGAGATTGGTCTGAAGTTGGTCACAAGGAAGAGATGACACCACGCCGACGGGCAAAGGAAGATTTACAAACTGCGCGCTGACGTCAATCAATGGTGGACTTACGAGCCAGCTCAAAAAAGTGGACCTCGGCTGAGCGTCAATCAGAACTTTGACCATCGCTGCTTCGCCTACCGGCGGCCATAAAACTCGAAGCTGTGGAGGTGAGGGGTATCGATCCCCTTACCTATCGCATGCGAAGCGATCGCTCTACCATGTGAGCTACACCCCCATGTTCGAGAGGATTTCAATTATCTATCTTACCTTTATTTTCTACTTTAGACGCACACTAACTCCCTTGACAAGATATGTGTCTCCGCGATGGACGTGAGGGAGGAATTCGAGATTCAGCAGACAGCGAGTTACATCGTGACACGTGGGTTCTCGCGCGTGTGCCTTCAGTTCCCCGACTCCCTCCTCCCGCACGCGGTCTCCGTCCACGACGCGTTGAGAGCCGAATGCGCCGCGCTCATTAGCAGCCAGCATCATGGTGCGTATAACGAGAACAGTCACACTGATCTGCTACCTGAAGCTCCACCTGCCACCACCCCAGAGGCTAATGTCGATTCGCGTCAAGAATCGGCCTCCCAGAGAACGAGCGACCTGCCTGGGAGCAATCAGCATGGGAGAAAAGAGCATGCGTCGGGGTTTCCGGGTTTTACGGAGGGTCAAGGAGGGAAGCAGTCAGAGGAGACAGGTGTAGCTAGATCGGGAGCGCATCCTGCGCCGCAGCAAATTGCGGCGAGCCAGCCGGCGGGGCATGCGGCGGATCCTCCGCGTCGCGACGTGCCGCATTTCTACGTTTTGGCTGACGCGGCAACTGCCACGTGCAGCAGCTGCTGCGTGGATGAGGTGTCACCGTGCCACGTCAGCGCTGACTGTATCGTCCACTACGGCCACGCGTGCATGTCGCGCCGCCCGGCGCGGTTCCCCGTGCAGTACGTACTGCCACGTCAGCCCATCGACGTGGCGGCGTGTGCTGCGGCAATAAAAGCACACTTCAAGAGCAGCAGCGGCGGCGGCAGCAGCTGCAGCAGCAGCAGCACCACCACCAATGGCAACACCCCCGCGAGTACCGGCGCCGATATTAGCGGAGTCTCCCCCCCGCGCGCGCCCCCCCGCGTGGTACTGGTGATGTTCGCGCTCGAGTTCGCGCACGCCGCGGACGACTTTGCGCGCGCTCTTGGGGGAAGCGGCGGAGCGGAAGCGGCGGAGGCAGAGAGGGAGGGGGCGGGGGAGGGGGAAGAAGTGCGGTATGTGGTGGCGCAGGTGCGGGAGAGGGAGGTGGAACCGGAGGAAGGGGAAAAGGTTGGCGGTGCTGACACGTGTCGCGCCGTGAGTGGCGGGTGCTGTAACGGCGGTGCCAGAGGGGAGACTGAGAGAAGCGCGTGTTGTGGGGGAGCGACAGAGATGGGCACGTGCGGAACTATCTCCTGTTCTGGTGAAGATATTTCTTCCAATGCTGCTGCTGATGCTGCTCCTGATGGTGGTACTGCAGCTTCGGCCGCTGCCACTATCCAATCTTCTGCCGCCCAGTGTGCCGCCCAGTGTGCCGCCCAGTGTGCCGCCCCTGGCACTCTTTTTGAACACGGCGGCCTGCGATGGGTGCTGCCGCCCGGGACAAGCATGGCTGCAGAAGCTGCCAAAAGCAGCAACCCACACAGCAACCAGGAACCATCCTCATCAGCAGCAGCAGCACCCGTGACAGTGGCAGTGAGAGCAGTGGTGTGGGTGGGCAGCAGCGACGAATGCCCATCTCTCATAACCCTCGCACTAGAGCACAACCAGACCCCCATCTTCAGACTCGACCCCACCCACCTATCTGTTGCTGCTACCGCTGCTGCTACTGCTGCCGCTGCTGCTACTGACAGCAGCAGCAGCAACACCGCCCCTCTCTTCCACCCTGTAGACCACTCCCGCTTACTCCGCCGCCGCTACTACCTCGTCGAGAAGACCAAAGACGCGTCCATAATCGGCATCGTCGTCATCTCCCAATCCGCCGGTGCTGCTGCCGCCTCCACCCGGGCTACAGTCGCCGCGATTCGCACCGCAGCGGTGGCGGCGGGGAAGAAGGCGTACGTGATTGCCATCCGGCGCCGGATCACGCCCGAGAAGCTGGCGAATTTCCCCGAGTGTGACGTGCTGGTGCTGGTGGCGTGTGCGGAGGGGGTAATCCTGGATGGCATGGGGCAGGGCAGCAGTGGGAGTGGCGGTGGCAGTGGTGGTAGCCGGGCGTTCTATGCCCCCGTGGTGACGCCGTTTGAGGCGCTGATGGCGCTGGAGGAAGGGCGGGAGTGGACGGGAGAGTATCGGATGATGCTGGATGCTGCTGGGGTGGAGGGGGAGGAAGAGGGGAGGGGGTGAGGAAGGGAGAGGCAGGGTCAGGTGAAGAAAATGGGAAAGACAATGGGGAGGATGTGGCTCCTCGGTTTTCCTTTGTGAAAGGATCGCTGGTATCCCCCGCCCCTCTCAAGGTACCATCGTCTGCAGCACCATCAGCAACTGAACCACCTGCACCAGCAGCAGCAGGAGTAGCAGCATCAGAGCAATCAGCTTTGGCCGTCCGGCAGGACATGGCTCTTTCTGCTCTGCCCGTTTCGATGGACTCCTTGGCCCTGGCTCGGGCGTCCGGCCAATCTGGGTACGCCATGTCAGCGGCGGTGGAAGCGCGATCGGGATCGGAGTTTTTGGCGCTGCGGCGTGACTATAAGGGGCTGGAGGTGCCCTGGTTCATGGCGCCTGGTGGGACGCCTGGAGAGGCTCCAGGAGAAGGGGTAGGGGATGCAAGAGGGAGAGGGGATGAGGGCGGAAGTGAGGATGGGGGAGTGGTGGGTGCTTTCATGTCGAAAGTGGCTCCGGCGATTGAGGCTGTGATAGTGGTGGAAGGGAGGGAGGGCCGCGCTGCAGGGTACGTGGGTGAACCACAGAAGGGATAGGAAGGATGATAGGAGGGGCGAGTATTGGTTTGGCTATAACGAACTGAATTATCACTGGTTCATTATTGGTTTGGCTATAACGAACTGAATTATCACTGGTTCATTGTTCTTGGTGGAACGGTGGGACCCCCCTGCTCGCCCTGAAAAGGCTGAGCAGGGGCGGGTGAAGAAGAAACAGGGGGTTGTAGAGTGATGAGGTGAGTCACAAAAAAAAAAAACAGGAAAGCTGCAGTGTGGGATGTCTGATGATGTGGATTGATAATGTTAGTGTGTGATGTATTGAAACAATTTCAACAAGGGCTTAAAAAAATGTTACACTGATGATACAGGGTAAAATTTTCAGAACCTGCAAAAACCCTGACCAATCAGGAATTTCAAAGTGGGCTATTCTGATTATAAGGTTTTTGCATATGAGCTACACTGGTTGTAAGAGTTGGCCAAAACCAAAAATTAGCCCTGGAGGTGACTTGCTTGACGTTCTGAAATTGGGAACGTTGATTGATACATGTGGTTTGAGAAACTTCATTTGCCTAGAAAAGTGTACGATGAAGGACGAGTGAAATGTACGAGCTCGTTGCGCTGTTTTTTTAACGCACACTCTTGTGTCGTAGTTGTTCAGCCTCGCGTCTGCTTCGCTCCGTCTGGCCGTCCTCCTACCCTCTCCTCCACACCCCAGCTCCTTGTCAACTCGGGAAAAACATTCAAAACCTCTCGCAATCGCTCCTTAACCCACTTCACCCTTGTCAACCATTGTGCGCACACACGGTGCGTGCACACGGTGGGTACACAGGACCCCAAAGCTTGAAGTTGCTAGCCCAGGCAGCAATTTTTCGTGCAGTAGCCATGAACGACAAATACCAATCCCCGAGCATGTCGCATTTTCAGTGTTGGTGTTGGACAATGGGTCAGAGCAGCCATTTGAACAACCAGGCACCAATGGTCGTCATGACAAGTGCGCTCGAGTCTAAATGACGAGTGCAAATGCATGATATTTAAGTTCAATACATAGCATCTAATTACCATCGGCGAATTGGGAGCTTATAATATTCTTAATCTCCATGGCATCGCTGCAGCCTACTGGCGAATTGAGAGAGCGCGCCGATCGACGGGAGGAGAAGAGACTGAAGAACAACGCTGACCAAAAAGGCAAGGGATGTTACTGCTTCGCGACGCAGCGTCCCTTTTTACACCTCGCCTTATCACTCCTAACGAAAAAGCACATAGATTTCACCCCTCTGCTCACGTACCTTCAAAAAGAAACATTTGAGAGTTTCAGTAAACTCTCCCAGGCATTTCTTTTCAGCTTGTTCCTCTCCCCTCCACCTCCTATTCTCTCCGTCCTCTGTTAATGTCCCTCCTTTTTTTGCTTCCTCACGAGCTGTACGCGCACTGCGAAACAATTAGCGAGCACCTTATTGAGTAATTTCTTTACTAGGGAAGAGTTTTAGAAGTTAAGATCGTGGGGTGCATAAACTCGCATTTACATTACGTCAAAGAGTTTATGCCCGTTACGTCATTCTTCTTCTCTGCACCATGGAGTCTTTTTACTGTTGGTGAGGTGGGCTCAACAAAAGTTGCTCGAACGGAGCACCTCGCTTGAGCATCTCCGTTTGAGTGCTTGAAAGGAGTTGCTCATACGGAGAACTGGGTGAAAATTGCTCGTTTTTTTGGTGTTAAAAAAAAAAAATCTCAAAAACAGCTCCATTCCAAAGTTTTTCGAAGATGCTCCCTCTACCCACACCCGTTTTCAAGGCTTGAATTCACAGCCGTGAAGACGATGAGCGACGAAAAAACCCATAAGAGGTTCAAAACAGCTCCATTCCAAATCATTCCCTTTTTTCTTCACCCCATCAATCCCCTTGCCACCCATCTCACCCAACTCATCCATATCACCCCATCTCACTAATCTCTCCTTCCAGCCGCCACCCCCAGTGATCCCATAGACATGCTGCCGGCGTACCTCTGGCACAAAGTTTTCCGCTACCTGCTGCTGCCGCCAGGCTCCTCCCATGTCCAGGGCAGACGCAAGACGCCGTGGTATCTCACCGCCACAACTCAGCCCACAGCCTGCAGAAACCTGCCCGTGAAATTCGCTGACCCTGATTTCATGCCAGCCGGGCAGCACTGGAAGAACGCGAGGAGCTATGGCAGTGGGTGGGCGCTGCTGTGCTGCGCCATGGCCGGCAAGAGGCTGCTCTCGCTCGTCCTCTCCTTCTCCGTGAGTACTGCACGCTTAAGATGTTTCACACGCTTTGCGCTGCTGTGCTGCGCCATGGGCAGCAAGAGGCTCCTCTCGCTCGTCCTCTCCTTCTCCGTGAGTCTGCTCTGCCCTGCTCTGCTCTGCTCTGCTTTCTGCTTGCTCTCGCTGGCTTCGAAACGCACGCCCATTGATTTCCACCATGCTTCGGATATGAGACTCTTAACACAGCTCCTGAATCCTTGGTTGTAAACTAGGTCCGAATCCAGCCAATCAGACAACTCCATTCCCACCCCGTTTGAGGCGCCGCAAAAGCGTCCGAATTTTGAGGCGCCTCAAAAAACAGCTCCTGATTGGTTGTAAATTAGGTTTATATCCAGCCAATCTGACACCTCCATTTCCACCCCTTTTCTTCCGGTCACCATCTTTCACGGCTCACCTTCTCTCCTCCAATCCCATCCATCCCTCTCTGCACTGCACTGCAGGCCCACCACCCCATCGCGCTGGTATACAATGAGCTGCACCCGCAGTGGATCAAGAGTGCCTCCTACTTCCTGTGCTAGTTGTCTTTTCAGTCCACTCAAAAGCCAGTGATCAATCCCATCCTATCCCTCTCTACAGGCCCACCACCCCATCGCCCTGGTATACAACGAGCTACACCCACAGTGGATCAAAAGCGTCGAATTCTTCCTGTGCCAGCGCCCCCGCCTCAGGTCCCTCGCCCTCACCTTCACAAACTTCAAGCAGCTGGACTACCTCTGCTCGCCGCTCAACCACCACTTCCCCTCCCTCACCTCCCTCACCCTCAAACTCCGCGGCTGCGTCGACAAATCTTACCTGTACGACGATCTACCGGACGACTGTGAGGACGATGCCGATGAGATGTTCTGGGTGCATGCCTTCGACTGCCCGGCGCTGCAGCGGCTGAAGCTCGGCCGGGGCAAGTGGAACCTGCAGGAGGAAGACTGGGCTGAGGAGTTCCAGTCGCTGCGCAGCTTGACTCTCAAGCACGTGGACTGGAGCTTCGTGGACTTTGAGTATCTCGGCACGGTCACGCCACGGCTCACGGAATTCACGCTCTATCACAGCTGGAGTTTGGACCGCCCGTCGTCCGGGCCTGGAGGTGGGGGTGAATTCCAATTCGACTTGTCCAAGGCTCAAACTGTCCGATTCTACTTCCCACAGAGAGCCCTCACGCTCTTCCTCACCCTCTCTCGCTCGCTCAAGACCTTCACTGCGATGGCGAAACAGCTTGTACTCTCATGTAAGAGCAGCACCCCTCTCGCTCTCCAACACCTCTTGCTGTACGGCCAGCAGAGGCTTGTCATCTCCTCCCTCCGCCTCGCTTCCGTACGAGTGGCCTACCTCAGCGGCCCTCCCAAAGACTACCACTCGTGCAATGAACTGGACTCTCCTGAATTGTCCCCTGAATCTTCCCAGGAATTCTCCTGGGCTGAATGGCTGGCCCCTATAGCGCCAACAGTGGAGGTGCTTATAGTGAGGCATGGGGTGCCTCTAGAGGGAGTCGACGCGGAGTGGAGCAGCCTGCGCAGCCTTGGGATTGTCATGGAGACAGAGGAGCGGTTTGAGGTGGATTTGAAGGTTGAGAAGCGTCGGGATGATGGAGAGAAGGAGGTTACAGTGGAGGAATTTCAGGAGCGCGATGGGAGGCTCTTGCAGCAGCAGAGGCAGGAGGAGCGGCAGCGGCAGCAGCAGTGGCAGCAGCGGCAGCAGCAGCAGCAGCAGCAACAGCAGCAGCTTTTGCAGCAGCAGGGGCTTCAGCAGCAGATTTTGCAGCAACAGCGGCAGCAGCAGCAGATTTTGCAGCAGCAGCAGCAAGAGGAGGAGGAGGAGGAGGTGGAGGAGCAGGAGCAGGAGGGGCAGCAGCAAGAAGTAAGACCGCCGTTTATCGTGGCTCCAAACTTGCGAGCTATCTTCTTCCCCACCAGCACATGCGAGCAGCAAACCCTTGCTTCCCTCCGCGAATTCTGTCCGTCTCTCGCCCTGTACTGCATCTCACGCCGCTCGTTCTACTGGGAGAAGCAGAGGAAGCAGTTGCTTGAGACCCCTGTGGTGCACGTGAGGAAGGCGAGAAGCGGTGTGCCATGCGCCTGCTTTGCAGATAAGCGGCCGAAGAACGTGCGGGAGAAGATGCACAGTGTGAATAGGGAGCTGGTTGATGGGTACAGTGTTGATAACGAAGAGGCTTATATGTTGAAGTACAAAGGGGGCCTGTGGAGCAGAGACCATTGAGGAGGGGACCTTTGAGTCAGCTAACAAATCACCTGAGTACGGTGTTCATGCAGATGAGGCTAGTATAGTTGAAGTACCAATGCAGTTGTGTATTGAGCCTACTCAAAACACGTCAGCTGAAAAATCACCCGAGTTACCAGGTACAGTGTAAATGCACATGAGGCTACTAAAGTTGAAGTGCTGTACAGAGGGAGCCTCTGGAAGAGTGAGGACTGCTTTTACAATATTTATGTCTGACCAACGAGGTGTGGTAGGGCGGATACTACGAAGCTGAAACGGCATGTATGTCATGAGTGGAGTGAATTCACATGGTCTAGTATACAGCTGTACAGTAATTCACAGAGCAGATAACTGCACTGATACAGTACCACTCCTATAGATGAAAGCTGAAACATTGTTCATTGGACAAAAGACAGCGTTAGGGCCTGAATGCCCTTACAGCCAATCTATCGAAACACTTTCTCTTCGTGTATGAGCAATCAAGGTTATAACGAACAATATGCACTACGGTTTGTATGAACATTAGGAGGCACCTGTGGTTGGTTGCTTCTTGAAAGGGTTTGCCTCTTGGTCCATGACTGAAAGAGCGTATTGCACCTGCCACAGGGGATTGGGTTGGTGGGATGGACGTTGTAAGAGCTGCACCTCTTACGAATATGAACAGCAAAGGCAACGAATGAATGGCCTAGGGGGTGAATGGAAGTGGCAATGGTCCAAACCGTATTTCACCTGCCACAGGGGATTGGGCTGGTGGGATGGACGTTGTAGGAGCTGAATCTTCTAAGAATATTAACAGCCAAGGCAACGAATGAATGGCCTAGGGGATGAATGGAAGTGGCAATGGTCCACAGGTTGAGCGTGACTAAGATGCCTGACCCGTATGACCCAAGTTAAAGCCCCGCAATAGATGCGCAAAAGACCGCGTTGGGGATGTGGTGAGCACTGTAGGTGGCAGTGAGGTAGACCACTCCACTCCTTGCTTGCATTGGCGTTTCTTCTAACAAAGTCTCACAAGAAAATCATGTTCACCTGTGCATCTCCCGTTCGAGGAACTCCGCAACGGCGGATCCGAACGCCAGGTCAGGGATGTGGTGAGCGAGCACTGTAGGTGGCAGTAAGCAGATAGCCCTGCGATGGTAAGCTGCTTCAAAGAATTCTCTCACAGGCAAACCAAGCCCACCTGTACAGTCTCCCGTTCAAGAAACCCAGCAATGGCTGAGCGGAATGCAGGGTCAGGGATGTGGTGCGCGCTGTAGGTGGCGGTGGGGAGATAGCCCCGCGGCAGCTTGTGCTCGCCCTGCGCCCCCGCCTCCACTCTCGCCAGACCTGCTTCTATGGCCGCCTCTATTGCCTGGCAGGGGAGGGAACAGGGAAGAGGGAGGGGGGACCGGGGGACAGGAGAGGAGGGAAAGAGGGTAAGAGGGAACGCAAAAACGCAGGGGAAAAGGGGAAGGGAGCCATGATTGAATGGGAAAGGGGAAACAGAGGGAAGGGCGGTAGGAGTAGTGAGAGCACTGTAGGTGGCGGTGGGCAGATAGCCCCGCGGCAGCTTGTGCTCGCCCTGCGCCCATGCCTCCACCCGTGCTAACCCTGCTTCTATGGCCGCCTCTATTGCCTGGCGGAGAGAGGGAAGGGGAGGTGGAATGGGGGAATGGGAGTGGGGGAGAGTGGGTAAGGGGGTAGCAGCTTGTGGGTCCCGTGCCCTGGCCTCGCCCCTCCTCTGGTTCAGCGCACCCCCCAACATGCGCTTTCTACTCCAGTTTCGACTCACACACCTGGTAGTAGCATGCTTCAAAGTGCAGGAACGGGTAATGTGTCCCAGGCAGCGCCCCCCAGTTGCGGTCAAACACCGCCTCCCCCCCCACCAAATTCAGCGCACCCCCCACCATGCACCCTGTGCCATCCTCACTCAACCTCATGCCTCGATGCACACACACCTGATACAACACTGAGGGCATATGCCAACACACACCTGGTAGTAGCACGCTTCAAAGTGCAGGAAAGGGTAATGTGTGCCGGGTAGCGCCCCCCCCCACCATGCGCATGCGGCCTGCCCTGGTCTAGGTACCTGGCCACACACCTGGTAGTAGCGTGCTTAACTCTTGCACTGATGAAGGCCTAGCGGGTACAATCCCCGTGCGAAGCCGAAACATGTTTGCCTAAGTCAGAGTTTTGAACAGAGCTGTGCTTTCGGTTCCTACTCTAATTTTTTACAGGGTTACTATTTCTCAACAAGTGACTATCGTTCTTTGCTAAAGCGATCCTTCACGCTGCAGCTCTTCTTCATGACCAGTGACCCATGCGGCCTGCCCTGGTCTAGGTACCTGGCCACACACCTGGTAGTAGCGTGCTTCAAAATGTAAGAACGGGCAATGTGTCCCAGGCAGCGCCCCCCAGTTGCGCCCAAACACTGCCTCCCCCCCACCAGGTTCAGCGCACCCCCCACCATGCGCCGTGTGCCATCCTCATTGCAACTCATGTTCTTGTCACACACGCCTGATAGCAGTGCGGAGCACAGACACACACCTGGTAATAGCACGCTTCAAAGTGTAAGAACGGATAGTGTGTCCCCGGAAGTGCCCCCCAGTTGCGCCCAAATACCGCCTCCCCGCCCACGAGGTTGAGCGCGCCCCCCACCATGCGCCCTGCCTCATCCTCCGCCACCACCAGCAGCACCTTCTCCCCCACGCGCTCCCCCAGCAGGTGAAAGAACTCTCGAGTGAGGTACGTCTGTCCCCACCTGTGGTGAGGGGTGGTGTAGTGTGGTGAAATGGTGAACACAGCGTGGGAATGAGAGGCAGTTAAAACATGTTCAGCGTGCCCCCCACCATGCGGCCTGCCTCATCCTCCGCCACCACCAGCAGCACCTTCTCTCCCACACGCTCGCCCAGCAAATGGAAAAACTCTCGTGTGAGGTACGTCTGCCCCCACCTGGTGGCAGGTGGATAGGAGGGGAGAGGAATGGAATTAACCCCCACCATGTCTTCTCTCTGTGCCCCAACCATGCGCCCTGCCCTGTGCCATCCTCCGCCAGCACCACCAGCAGCACCTGCTCGGCCAGCAGGTGAAAACACTCCCGAGTGAGGTACGTATGTCTGCCCCCACCTGGTAACGTGCAGTGTGGCGTGTTCGAGAGGGTATTTTTGAGAATTCTCGAAAACACTCTATGTCTTCCCCCACCTGGTAATGTGCAGGGTGGCGTGTTCGAGAGAGTGAGTTGGCTAACCCGGTCTAGGCTTATCAGCTCCAACACTCGACTCGACCTGCCTGAGAACTCACTTTCTGTTGGTGGTGTTGCAGTAGAATTGGAAGAAGCTATTCCAGTGGTGTGCCTGCAATGCAAGGTTATAGACAGAACGAGAGTGGGGAGGGAGGAGATTAGTGAGGAGAGTGAGGGATGGGGTTGAACCGTGAAAGTTGCAGCAAGGAAAGTCAATGGTGCGTCTCAAAAAATCAAATGAAGCTAGAAAACATTTTGAGAGTCACTTTTGAGAAATCAACAGATGGGGGTGAAAGTTGCTACAAGGGAAGCCAGTGGTGCGTCTGCAAGATATCAGTTGAAGCGAGAGAACTTGAAGAGTAGGCGGGGAGGTGAAGGGGGGTGAGGGAGGAGAGAGGAGTCGAGGGAGGTGAAGGAAAGAGCAGAGAGAAGGAAGACAAAGCGGGAAACGAAGTGGATGGGGAGGGTCTTTACTGTTTCTACTGTCTGCATCCACACACTCATGGAGAAAACATACATGAAACTCCGTAGAGTGTGGTGTACATTCATTTTTACACTCAATATGAAGTCATCTCCCCTCACCATGACGTCATCTTGCCTCACCATGACGTCATCTCGCCTCACCATGACGTCATCTTGCCTCACCTTAATGTCATCGCCCCTCAGCCGCAGCAGCTTCAAGCCTTGCGCTGCTACCTGGTGTGAGAACGGGGAGAGGGGGGTCACAGCCCTACAAGGATAAGAGCGGAGAGCAGTGATAGTTGGAATCGCGGAATTCAACCGAGAAGAAAAGAAACCCGTAGCGGCAAAATTCATCGACTTTGAAAAATGAAATGGAAATCTGTGAGATGATGTCAGCTGAATGCTTTGATGCGACGCGACAAGGTGTGATATGCGTGTGAATTCAAGCAGTCAACGTGGCATTGTCGGAGCAGCACCTTCTTCCGCTCCTGTCGAATGGTCTTGCGCTTGGACTGCTTCAGGTCCATGAGGAAATCGTTGAAGCTGGCGTTGGATGCGGTGCAGATGGGTGCATTCATGCAGGCATGCAAAAAACGGAGGGCAGAGGGGTGGGAGGGGGAGGAATTCCGATGCGATTTCTGAGTGGTTTTTCCCATGCCTACCACATTCACATGCATCGCAGGTGCGTGCATGCCCCACCTTCGGCTTCCACCCATGAGTCCCCACCTGCCGTAACCCCGGTTGCTCCAGTGGTACTGCATGCCCATGCGCTGTAGGAAGCCATGTGGTTCATGCCACAGCTCACATCCCATGCCTTCCCACCCATGTGTTCATGCCTCTCACCCACCTGCCATAGCCCCTGTTGCTCCAGTGGTACTGCATGCCCATGCGCTGCAGGAAGCCATATGGTCCCTGCCACACTACACACCTGCCACACCCCATGCTGCACCTGCCACACCCCATGCTGCACCTGCCACACCCCATGCTGCACCTGCCACACCCCATGCTGCACCTGCCACACCCCATGCTGCACCTGCCACACCCCATGCTGCACCTGCCACACCCCATGCTGCACCTGCCACACCCCATGCTGCACCTGCCACACCCCATGCTGCACCTGCCACACCCCATGCTGCACCTGCCACACCCCATGGTGCACCTGCCACACCCCATGCTGCACCTGCCACACCCCATGCTGCACCTGCCACACCCCATGCTGCACCTGCCACACCCCATGCTGCACCTGCCACACCCCATGCTGCACCTGCCACACCCCATGCTGCACCTGCCACACCCCATGCTGCACCTGCCACACCCCATGCTGCACCTGCCACACCCCATGCTGCACCTGCCACACCCCATGCTGCACCTGCCACACCCCATGCTGCACCTGCCACATCCCATGCTGCACCTGCCACACCCCATGCTGCACCTGCCACATCCCATGCTCCACCACCGCCCATCCCCACCCACCTGCCATAGCCCCTGTTGCTCCAGTGATACTGCATGCCCATGCGCTGCAGGAAGCCATGACGCGCCATGACCTGCCAGTCGGCCTTGCATGGGAATGTCACATGCACCGATGACACCCCGTACTGTGTGGTGTGGGGTTGGGAAGGGGCAGAGGGGGGGTGGGATGCGGGAAGTGATGGGGGGTGGGAACAAAAACGCGATTGGCCATGTCGTATCCACTGGGCGGGCCAAGACCTGCCAGTCGACCTTGCATGGGAATGTCACATGCACCCCGTACTGCGCATGGGAAGGGGCGGAAGTGGAATGGTGGGGGTGAGGGCAGGAAGAAACACCAACCGGCCATGCCATGCCATGCCCCACTGGCCGTGCCAACCATGCCATGCCATGCCATGCCATGCCCCACTGGCCGTGCCATGCCATGCCATGCCATGCCCCACTGGCCGTGCCATGCCATGCCCAACTGGCCGTGCCATGACCTGTTAGTCCACTTGCATGGAAAAGCCACATGCACCGATGATACCCCGGATTGCAGGGCGCAGGAGTGCAGGCGCAGGGGCGCGGGAATAGTAAGGGGGGCTTTTGAGACGTCTCAAGAGAGGAGCCCTCCAGTGGGTGGAGGAGAAGGGGGGGATAGGTGAGGATGGAGAAACGAGGGGTCAAAAGGAAGATACTAACGGTCGTGGCAATACTGAAATCACTTTTGGGAATTCTCAAGAGTGATTTCAATGGTCAAAGGCATGCTGTGGCATGTCATGCCATGCCATACCCTTCTCACCTCGTCCGCCACTTGCTTCATGGCCTGGCACAGCCACAGGAGCCCCTAAGTCAACTCCGTATCCCCGTACCCCGTCCCCTAAATTTTCCAGTCCATTCCTCCCTTCCCCTGTCCCCTCTCCACCAACCCTCACCTCGTCAGCCACTTGCTTCATGGCCTGACACAGCCCCGACAGCACAGCCTCGCGGTCAGGTCCGTCCCGAACCAGCAGGCGAGGCCCGGTGGCGGGCGTGAACGGCACGCAGGACTGCAGCTTCGGGTAGTACGAGCCTCCCGCCCGCATGAACGCATTGGCCCACGAGTGATCAAACACGTACTCTCCATAGGAGTGGCTGTGGGGATAAGGAAGGGAAGCGGAGATGAGAATGGGGGTTGTATAATCATGAAAATCCTCACAGCATTTTGAAGTTGTAAAAGCCTCTCGCCCACATGAACGCATTGGCCTACGAGTGATCAAACACATACTCTCCATAGGAGTGGCTGTGGGGAAGAGTGAAAGAGGAGGGAAACGAGGGAACCAAAAGGTGTCGATCCACTCAATGAAAGCCATGCGCGTGTGACACAAACGGATTGTGCTTTTGAGACGTCTCAAAAGTCGTTTACTCAATGAAAGCCTACAAACGGATTGTGCTTCTCCACTCCTCCCCTCACCACCACTGGCGCTGCTGTGGTAACCACCTCACCCCTCCTCCCTCCCCGCACCAATCCCGAACGATTTAGCCATACACCCTTACCTTTACATGAATAAACGCACACGTACCCCTGTAAATAAAGGGGCGGCACCCCGACTACCCTCTTCTCGGCGTCCCTGGCGACAAGGTGCTGTGGTAACCACCCCCCCTCGCGGCGCCACCCCAACATAAGAACAATTACACATACCCCTTCAAATACAGGGGCAACACGCCAACCACCCTCCCCTCGGCGTCCCTGGCGACGAGGTGCTGTGGTAACCACCCCTCCTCGCGACACGCGCTTCTGCTCTCCTCCAGACACAGCAGGAACGCGTGTGACACAAACGGATTGTGCTTCTCCACGCCGCCCGCCGCGTCCAGCGCACAGGCGTCCCAATCAGCAGCAGGGATGGAGGCGATGGAGGAGGAGACTGTGACTGTAAGCGCCGTCGCTGTAACGGGAGTGTCCTGCACACACACGTTTCAAGGGGGACAAAGGGGTGGAAATGGGATAGGTGGGCTTTAAAGGAGGGGATGCTGTGCCTTCACCCCAGCAAGCGCACAGGCGTCCCAGTCAGCAGCAGGGATGGAGGCGATGGAGGAGGAGACCGTGACTGTAAGGGCCGTCGCTGTAGCGGTGGGTTCCTGCACGTGTGGCAGCGGGATTAAAGAGAGAGAGAGGGGTGGTCAAAAGCACGCACGAATTCTTAAAGGGAAATGAACAATTTTCCCATCTGCGACGGCGACGACGTCTCTCAGACGATTTCCACTCACCCCTGCCCGCAGCCCGCTTCTCTCCGTCTCCTCTGCTGCCGCTGATCCTGCACCCCCGACCAACGCGCTCCTAGTGCGCTGCGCCTTGTCTCCCCGCTGCTGTTCCTGTTGCCAGGGCCAAAGCGCGGCTGATACGGGGATGCGACAAGAGTGGATTTGACTGTGGCTGTGAATAGAACGAAGGTGACTGTAACCAGACGGTGAATTTGCCACTCGATTTCGGCCGCCGCCGACGGGGACGACGACCGCGCGCAGCGGCAGCAGCGACGAATGCGCTAATGTGTGACGGGTCGATCTCTGCCGTGCGTCAACCGACACGTGGCATCGTGGTTGATGCTCGCGAAGCGCCTCGGTAACTTCGCCAATGGCGCGGTTACTGTGTATCCGCGTGCGCGAATCAGCGGATCGCAGTTGGGCCTGGTTGGAAGCGACGAGAGTCGCGGAACTCATGGCGAGAGGCGACTCAACGAGTTACTAGTGCCAGGAATCCCGAATTTGAGCTTCTTTTCGGATGCCTACTGCGACACCGAAGATATTAACTCCAACCGTTTGAAAATGATAAAGCCGCCTCAAAATGTCGCAGAACCCATGCCGGAGTCGGATCGGCGAGTTCGATGTTTTCAGCCGTGCACGGGGGGAGCAACGTCGAGAACAGTCGACACTGGGATTTGGAAAGCTTTCTTGCCGAAAGTAATATGGAATAGTGCAAGGGAGAACGACGCAAGCTGCAGTGTACCCCGAATACTACTACAGTGAGGGAACAAATCAAAGCAAACGCGATACGACAGCACAGGGAGCGAGATAAATGGCCGACGCTTGAAAGTTGGACTAGGAGGGGGGAAGTATGACATCCATCTGGAATATATGTGTGTCACTAGCGAGTACAAATCAGCTCAAACAAACCTCCTCCCCGCGAACTCTCTGTTATTGGTCCGTGCGGCTCAAAATCCGGGGTTCCTGCTTCACCACGTCAGCATAGTGCCACGTGACTTCACTTCATTGGATTCGGAAGCTAAGCAGAAAATTTTATTGAGTGAACCTCGGAGGGCGTATTCAGCAGTACATACGGGTGCTGGAGGAAACGAATCCTCCAACTCCCCGTGTAGGGGATTCGTGTTGGAGGAATGAGCTGGCAAGCTGACCGCGGGCAGAAAAAAACTAAACCCCATCGCGACCGGCATGCCATTCGGGAGCCTCAACCCTAAAATTTTAGGGTTCAGGCTCCCGAAGGCATGCCAGTCGCGATGGGGTTTATTTTTTTTTCTTGCCCGCGTTCTGCTCGCTGACTCGATTCGACTGCCAGCGTAATGAACCTTTCAGTTCTCCTCGAACTCCTCGTGTCGCCGTGAGTTCATGATGCGCTTTCTTTTCATTCTAAGGGCGTGTGTGATTTTGCCGAACCTGACAAAGTTCGAATTCAAACCGCTTGGAACCTTGGAAAAACGCTTCTAACTGTATTTTACCGTGACGAACCGTTATAAAGTTAGAACTTTCAGTCAGGTTCGGCAAAATCGCACGCGCCCTAATTGTTGCACTACCTACCATAACACTCATTTGCTGAGAGATAGGGAAATTTTCACTGATTGAAATAAAAGAAACAACGGACCTTAATTAATGTTGAACTGGCATATATTAGGGGAACAGCTGAAACATCATTACAGAAATATAGGAGATTGGTATTTAGTGAGAGATATGAATATCAATAATTAATCAATTAAATATCATTCTTAATAAATATTCAGAGCGTTCCCATGATTTTTTGTTTTGCATTTTTCTTGTCCGATTTTCTTAATTTCATATTGCTCTATAGATGGTCTTATTGTTTAAATAAGCAACTCTAATCAGAATCATGTAGCTCGTATAATTCACTGATGCTTGACTCCCGTATCTCACTGCGAGTCATGTATGCACCGATTCTTACTTTCGGGCGTTGAGCATGAGAGCAGATGATTTTCCTGGGTGATATTTACAAGCTGGCAATGGCTCAAGGGTATGGAAGTGCATAGCACGTACTTAAGGATAGCAGCTCCAGTCCTTAACTAGGATTTCTGGTACTTAGAATATGCCCTGGCCCTAGAGGCACTGCACCTTGCTTTCCAGCTTCGAAATGTCATCGGTAATTTCCTACCCCTACAGCCAGCCCTTCCAATTCCCAGTTCACCAGACCGTTTCAATCTGACGCTACCTGGATAAAACAGTACCACGAGTAGATTATATCGGGCAGTTTGGGCGGAAGCATTATGTCCACACATTCTTGTGAACGCGATCAAAGTTGGTCAGAACCGTTTTGCGATTCAAGCAAACCGTGTGGAGTCCCTTTTTACCGTGCTCAGAACGTGTGCGTCGTACCACACCGTCTAATATCCACTGCGTGGTCAATTAGTTTATCCAAACGAAGTTTTAGTCGTCGGAACGCGTCTCACTGAACATCTCCACATCGATTGGCTGAGATTTGCGATTCGCGATTGTGACTCACCCGCCGAGCATGTGTGCTTCAGCCCATCCACATCCACCGCAATCCGCCCTCTCACACAATTCAAATACTGGCTCATTTTTCCTTTCAGCAGCAGTCTACACATCGTAGCTCTTCATTCACTCGCTTCCTAACACACTCCCGCAACATCCACGCTCGTTTCCAGCTCTCTCCTGCACCCTCGTTACAAGCTCGTGATCATGGCGCGTCTGCTTACTGCTCTCTTTCTCCTGCTTGCCGTCACCGTCACTCTCGCATCACTCGCTTCCACGGCTGCTGCTCGATCTGCTCGGCTTCTTGGCGGCGGAATGACTGCCGATGGTAAGTGGCAGGCCTCGATTATGACTGCCAACGATTTTCCGTGCGATGTTTACGCACGTACGACCCGCAGCGCATCTGAAAAAGCGAGAGATTTGGCTCCATGTGAGGTTTTCTCCATGCGAGCTCGGCTCCATGCGATAGGTCCGCCTGCCTCTCTCTCCCGCCCCATCACTCCCCTCACCCCTTTCCCCTTCCCCTCGTTTTCTGCGCGAATCTATCATGTGGTGGCATGGCGTGGCCGCAGGTGTCTCGGGAGCGGCAGACACCATCGGCGGCGTCATCACGGCGGAGAGCGCGCCGAGCGGTGCTCGGCCGAGGGACGACGCGCAGAGCCGCCGCAAACTCGGGATAATAAGTGATCTTATCAAGAGATATAATGACTATAAAAACAGTAAGCATGATCATGTCAAGCCCTGCTCCACGTAAGGCTGTGCGCCCTTTCCAGAAAGCTCAACTCGAGTTAAATCGCGGCCGTCCGTTTGCTCCTGCCTCCAATGATGCCGCTCTTTGTTGACCCGTGCTCTGAAGTGAGAAGATGACTCTAACGGTCTCTCCTTGCTGTCGCCCGTTTGCAGGCCGGCCCTGTAGTCCACAGAACGTCCCTGCCTCTTGCGTTAACCCGCCGGTCACGGACGCGGACAAGGCGTGTGTACAAAAGCGGAAGGATTGCGGGCTGTCAAACTGGTGAGAGGGAGATGCATGGAGGTGAGAGGGAGTTGCATGCACGTGAGAGGGAGATGCGTGGTGGTGAGAGGGCGATACTGTGGGGTGTGGTGCGGTATGCTGCATACATGCCGCCACGAAACCATGTGCTTTATTCCATGGTTGCATGCTGTTCCTTTGGAGCAAGCAAGCTTCACACTGTGCCTTCATTTTCACCTCACCGCCATGTGTGCTAGTGCAATTGAGTCATCATGTTGGCATCATGTGCGCTGCATGGAAAGGCCATAGCTGTACCACAGCAACGCGGCAGAGTCTGTAGAGCCTATGTGGGGCCCACCAGGCCCGTACCACGGGTTATGGGGCCCTCCACACAGTGTGTGCATGTGCTGTGAGACTGACGCATACCACCTCCCCACCGTGTCCTTCTCTCTGCAGAGTCGCCAACAGCAGCGCCTCGCAACACCGGCGGGTCTGCTGTCAAGACTGGGAGCGTGTAGTAGTGGCGGGGGAAAGACAAGGAGGCATCTGGTTGCTGTGTTCATGATGTGGGTGTGTGCTCTATGTGGGTGATTGTGGGTATCATTGTGTAGGTGGGTGCTTGGGTGCGTGTATGTCAATCAGTAACACGTATCTGATTGTAACAGTGTATTTCAACTCTAGTTCACCTATCGTATGATTTCCTTCGCCTCCGCTGCATCTGTTCAACAGCTAATGCATGAATTCGCAGCTTTCCTCGCGCAACACTTAACGTCACTCCGAAGCAGTAACTTACGTTTTGGGTTTAGAGCGAGTTTCTACTGCATATGGTAGTTAAAGCGCCTGGTTGGAAGCGACGAGATTCGAGGTGACTCAACGATTAAGTAGTCCCGGGATCTTAGAATTTAACTCGATTTTCAGAAACGAGCTGCGACACGAAACAAGTGGGACAGCAGCCTTTCAAAACGGTATTCTAGGAATTTGCTATACATTCCGCATAACCCATCCTGTTGATTGGCGAGCATGAGAGGCGGCAAGGGAAATACCTATCTTGACAGAGTCTAGCATCCTTACAAAATACCACTAGCTTGTATAAAAGCCTAAATAGGCGCTTACCTCGAACATTACCAAATTAGCGTTTGAAATCACTCAAGCGCGAAATTTCCGCCGACGCTTTCCGTTTGAGAAAGGACAATGCTGGAGAAAGCGTCGGACAATACTGTCAAGGAGCAGAGCAGATGCTAACAGGGAGCGAGATTGATGCTTGGAGGCTTGAAAGGAGGACGAGGAGGAACTGATTTATTATATTGCTAAGCATCTCAACTCTGAAACATGTAGTTCATATAATTCGCTTTTTTCAGACCCCCCGCATCTCACGGCTTTCCAAACATATTTTTGGGCGCAGAGCACTCAGGTCACGTATTTTTCCTGGGTGATGTGTACGAACTGGCGGTTGCCCTTGGTATGGACGTCTACGAGAATATCACATAACTGGAGGACTCAGAGCTGCGAAACTCTGTTGGGACTTGATCATTCAGTCCGTGAATCACTGTTTAATACTCCGAGAGTCGTTGGTGATGTCATGCATCCTGTTGCTTGCCATTACTAACTGAAACTGGAATTGGGAGGATCAGTTCCCACTGGTACTTTCAGATCGGGCAGTCAGGGCGAAAGAGAAATTATTTGCTTGGTCAAGCGCCACACACACTCGTTCGTGAACGCGATCAAATTTTGCTGGTCATTGATCATTTGAGCAAGCTGCTTAAATCCCTTTTCACCGCACTGAAAACGTGTATATTGTACCACACCGTCAAGCATCCACTGCGAGTCAAGCAACTCATCCAAACCAATTATAGTTGGAACGTGTCTCACCAAAATTCTCGATGTTGATTCGCTGGGGATTGCGACTCGGCGACGGTGACTGCGCGGAGCATTAGAAGCTCCGCTTCAGCCATTCACTTCACATCCACCACAGTCCGCCCTCTCACACCGTACAAATACCCACCCCTTCCTTCCCAACACCAGTCCCACATTTCGAAGCTCTTGATTCACTCGCTTCCAACTCCCTGCATCCCCTTCACTAGCGACAATAGTAGACATCATGGCGCGCCTGCTTACTGCTCTCGCTCTCCTGCTTGCCTTCACCTTCACTCTCGCATTATTCGCTTCTACTGCTACTGCTCAATCTGTTCGGCTTCGTGGCAACGGGATGACTGCCCACGGTAAGTCGCACACCCGTGCGATAATAACGAGCATTCCGAGAAGCGAAGGAGGTTGGCTCCATGTTAGGATGATTCGCAGACCCTGCGACGGTAATTCGCTGACCCGTGCGATGGTAAGTCGCCACACGGCCCATCGCTCCCTCTGACCCGCACACCTCTGCGAGCCATTTTCGCGATTTTTCTCAACAGTGACCAATCCGACGCAAATATGAGTGAATCGGCCAGTCGCTTCTCGAGTGAATCACTCTGCACGGCCCGTCGCTTCTCCCTCTGACGCGCACACCTGTGCGAGCGATTTCAGGAAATTCTCAAATATTCCCTGAGGAGTGACCTCTCTGACGAAAATAAGAGCGAATCGCTCTGCACGGCCCGTCGCTTCTCCCTCTGACGTAACACTGCGTCCAGCCCATGCCTCACGTCCCACGCCGCGGCATGAAACAGAATAAGGAAGCGCCTGACACTCACTCCCTCCCCTTGCCTCCCTTCACCCCTTCCCCCGGTCCCCTCGTCCCCCGCGCGAACCTATGTGTCGGCATGGCGTGGCGGCAGGTGCGTCGGGAGCGGTAGGCACCACCGGCGACTTTATGGCAGAGAGCGCGCCGAGTGTTTCTCAGCCCAGCGCGGGGGGCGAGCAGAGCCGTCGCAAGCTTCAGCCGGGCAATACTACCCCTCGGCAATTTCCTAAAGGCCTGAACCTGTTTGCGAAGGATGGTAAGAATGATCATGCCCGGAAAAGCTCAGTGTTTGATTTCGTGCGGCTGCTATGTTTGATTTCGTTTATTTTTATTTTTGTCCCTGCCGTGAATGTATTCACGGAGCTTATGATGCCGTGCTGGACAAAGGCTGGGCAGCATTGGGTGGTGTGACGAGCATTGATCGCCTTCGAACCAACTGGCAGTTGGTTCGAAGGAACTGGTGCTCGCTCCTAAAATCTCAAATCGCGGCCTGAGGTGAATCGCGGCCGTCCATGTGCTGCTGCCTCCCTTGATATCTCAGGCGACCTTACCGCGAAGTGAAGTAGTCGATTCAGCCGTTTCCCCTTTGCTGTCGATTTTTAAGTCGATTTTTAAGTCGAGTTTCCCCCCTTTGCTGTCGCCCATGTGCAGGCACTTTGTGCTACACAGTGAAGCATACAGATTGCGCAAAGCCCAAGAAGTCCTACTTTTATGGCATCCCAAGCAACCCCAGCTTGCAGGAGATTTCCGCGTGCGAGGAGAAGCGTCAGCGACAGATCAAGGAGTGCGAACAGTGGTGAGCGGGCGACGTTTGTTCGTGAGAGGGCGACGCATGATGGTGGGAGGGCGATGCGTGTTGGTGAGAGTGCGATGCATGTTGGGGAGAGGGCGATGCATGTTGGTGAGAGGGTGATAATCTGGGGTGGTGCTGGTATGCTGCACACACACAACCGTGAAACCATGTGCAAGGTACTTTCTGTGCGGCGCACGATTCATGTCATGGGAAGCCCGTGCTAGCTGTTCCTTTGGAGGGAGCAAGCTTCACAAGTATGTCGCATGTGCCTTCATTTCCAGCCTGGTCTTGCCCGCCTCATCCCCGTCATTGTCGGCGTGTGCATGGGCTGCGGGGCACAGCCGCCGTCATGGCAGCATGATGAGCGTCGCATGGAATGGTCATGCCGGCTATCCCTCTGCAGCGCAGAGGCTGTAGAGTCTATGTGGGGCCCACCACGCCCGCATGTGCATGTGCTGTCAGACTGACTTGTGCCACCTCCCCACCTTGTCCTTCTCTCTGCAGAACTATCCTATTCCAGAAGGCCTCAACAACTAGCAAGACCGGGCATGTCAGCTGCCAAGATTAGGAGCATGTGGTCATTCTGCACAGGTGTGCATTGATGCTTGTGTGCCCCATGTTGGTGTTTGTGGGTATGGTAGTTATGCTTGGGTGGGTGGGTGGGTGTTTGGGGGAAGTGAACACTGTGCCTGGATGTCAATCAGCAACGCAATGAATTTGAGTGTAACAACTCTATTTTACCGCAATCGGATCGGCGATCAAAATGTCGCAGAACCCATGCCGGAATTGGATCGGCGAGTTCGATGTTTTCAGCCGTGCACGGGGGGGAGCAGCGTCGAGAACAGTCGACGCTGGGATTTGGAAAGCTTCCTTGCCGAAAGTAATAGGGAATAGTGTAAGGGAGAACGACGCAAGCTGCCGTGTGCCCCGAATACTACTACATTCGCGTCTGAGAAGTTTCGACCAGCTTCGACTTATCTTGTATCTAATTTCACTCTAGGATTACTATGCGGTGGTCTTTAGGAACGATGAGGGAGAAAAGGGAATGCGATACAACAGCACAGGGAGCGAGATAAATGGCTAGGAGGATGTGACGAGATAAATGACGCTTGAAAGTTGTACTAGGAGGGGGGAAGTATGACATATACCAGGAAGATGTGTGTGTCACTAGCGAGTACAAATCAGCGCAAAACAAACCTCCTCCCCGCGTCCGTGCGGCTCAAAATCTGGGGTTCCTGCTTCACCATGTCAGCATATTGCCACGTGACTTCATTTCATTGGATTCGGAAGCTAAACAGACATTCGATTGAGTGAACCTCGTAAAACGTATTCAGCAGTTCTCCTTGGACATCCTCGTGTCGCCAGTGAGTTCATGATGCGCACATGTAGGTAAATACATATTCTTTTTTTCTGAATGCAGTAATCTTCTTTTCATTCGAGTTGTTGCACTACCTACCATAACACTCATTTGCTGAGCAATGGAGAATTTTTCACTGATTGAAATAAAAAAACAGCAATATTTACGAGACCTTACTTAATATTAAGCTGGCATATACTAGGGGAACTGCTGAAACATCATAATAGAATTGTATGAGATTGATATTTAGTGAGAGAAATGAATATCAGTAATACATCAATTATTAATTATTCTTTACCATTATGCAGTGTTTCTCCATTATTTTTTGTTTGTTTTGTATTTATCTTGTCCGATTTTCTGGATTTCATATTGCTCTATAGATGGTCTTACTGTTTATCTAAGCATCTCAAATCAGAATCATGTAGCTACGTATAAATCACTGATGCTTGACTCCCGCATCTCACTGCGAGTCATGTATGCAGCGATCCTTACTTTCGGGCGTTGAGCATGAGAGCAGATGATTTTCCTGTGTGATGTCCACGAGCTGGCTATGGCTCAAGGGTATGGAAGCGCATTGCACGTACTTACGGATAACTGCTCTAGTCCTTAACTAAGATATCTGGTACTTAGAATAGAAGCCCAGGCCCTAGAGGCACTGCACCTTGCTTTCCAGCTTCGAAATGTCATCGGTGATTTCCTACCCCTACAGCCAGCCCTTCCAACTCCCAGTTCGCCAACACTTTTAACTGAAAGCATCAACGAATCTGACGCTACCTGGATAAAACAGTACCACGAGTAGATTATGTCAGAGGTCCACTGGGGATCCCCGATGATCCTAGGGAAGGGTTACAGGCATGTCGGCCTGGGGGGTTATGGGCGCACTCACCCGCTATACAAATAAGCCCTTTTATCCCAGTGGTTAGTGACTGGGATTCTGACAGATTATCGGGCAGTTTGGGCGGAAGCAATATGTCCACGACTCACATTCTTGTGAACGCGATCCATGTTGGTCAGAACCGTTTTGCGATTCAGGCAAATCGTGCTGGATCCCTTTCTACCGTGCTAAGAACGTGTGTCTCGTACCACACTCTCTAAAATCCACTGTGTGGTCAATCAGTTGATCCAAACGAAGTTGTAGTCGTCGGAACACGTCTCACCGAACACCTCGACAGTGATTGGCCGAGATTTGCGATTCGCGATTGTGACTCACCCGCCGAGCATGAGCAACTGTGCTTCAGCCCATATACATCCACCACAGTCCGCCCTCTCACACAATTCAAATACTCGCTAGTTTTTCCTTTCAACACCGGTCTACACATCGTAGCTCTTTATTCAATCGCTTCCTAGCACACTCCCACAACATCCTCGCTCGTTTCCAGCTCTCTCATGCACCCTCGTTACTAGCTCGTGATCATGGCGCGTCTGCTTACTGCTCTCTTTCTCCTGCTTGCCGTCACCGTCACTCTCGCATCACTCGCTTCCACGGCTGCTGCTCGATCTGTTCGGCTTCTTGACGACGGGATGACTACCGATGGTAAGTAGCAGACCTGGATAATGACTGCCGATGATTTCACGTGCGATGTTTATGCACGTGCATCTCCGTGCGATAATGACACGTATCTGGAAAAGTGATAGATTGGTTTTATGCAATAGATCTGCCTGTCACTCTCTCTCGCCCATCACTCCCCTCTTCCCTCCCCCGGTCCCCTCATCCCCTGCGCGAGTATATCATGTGTCGGCATGGTGTGGCCGCAGGAGCCTCGGGATCGGCAGACAGCGCCGACGTCATCACGGCGGAGGGCGCGTCGAGTTTTTCTCATTCCAGCTCGGGGAACGACGAGCAGAGCCGCCGCAAGCTGGGGTGGATAACAGATTCTATCAAATGGGTCAATCTGAAATTACAAAGTAAGAATGATCATGCCAAGCCCTCACAAGTACTTAGAGATTCGTTTTTTTCTGCGGTTTCTGGTCATTGACTGCTCCACGTAAGGCTGTGCGCACTTTCCAAAAAGCTCAACTTGAGATAAATTGCGGCCGTCCGTTTGCTCCTGCCTCCAATGATGCCGCTTCTCGGTGACCCGTTCTCTTCTTGCTGTCACCGTTTGCAGACATGCCCTTGTGTGGAAGGGAAAGTCCCTGTCTCTTGCGTTAACCCGCCAATCACGGACAAGGATAAGGCGTGTGTAAAGAAGCGGACGGATTGTGGGCTGGAGCCCTCAGGCTGGTGAGAGGGAGATGCGTGGTGGTGAGAGGGAGATGCGTGGTGGTGAGAGGGTGATACGTGGTGGTGAGAGGGTGATACTGCGGGGTGTGGTTCCGTATGCTGCATATATGCCGCCATGAAACCATGTGCTAAGGAGTTGTTCCATGCTAGCTGTTCCTTTGGAGCAAGCAAGCTTCACACTGTGCCTTCATTTTCACCTCTCCTCCGTGTGTGCAAGTGCTATTGAGTCATCATTTTGGCATCATGTGCGCTGCATGGAAAGGCCATAGCTGCACCATATCAGTGCGGCAAAGTCTTAGAGCCTATGTGGGCCCCACCACGCCTGCGTGTGCTGTGAGCCTGACTCGTGCCATCGTCTCCCCACCGTGTCCTTACTCTCTGCAAAACCACCAGCCGCCAAGAGTAGCACCTAGCAATACCGGCGCGTCCACTGTCAAGATGGGAGCTTGTAGTATAGTTGCAGGGGAAAGACGAGAAGGGCTTGTGCATGCTGTAGTGGGTGTTAACTTTGTGATCATTGTGCTTATGTACCGTATGTCGGTGATTGTGGGTGGGTGCTTGGGTGCCTGGTGTAACAGTGTTTTTCGACTCTAGTTTACCTATCGTATGATTCCTTCGCATGTGCTCCATCCATGAATTCGCTGCCTTCCGCTTGGAACACTTAACGCCGCTCCGAAGCAGTAACTTAGCCAACGTTTTGGATTTGAAGCGACGACAAGAATCAAGGCGACTCGACGAGTAAGTAGTCCCAGGATTTTCGAATCTAAACTCGCTTTTCGGAAACGAGCTGAGACACCGAACAAGTGGGCAGCGGCTTCTGAAAACGGTATTTAAGGAATTACCTGTCGAAAGGCTAGGCAAACAAGAGAAACAGGAAGGAGGGGTTTGCACTAGCAGCAGGTAGGATACACACTAGCAGCAGGTAGGATACATATAGGAAACCCTAATTTAGGTTGTACTTACTATAAAGTACCCCACTGCAGGCTAGACAACCATTACATTCTGACACACCCCCATAGTCAAAGTGGGGTATAATCAGCACAACAAGCAGGCATAGCAATAGTTCACAATGATAAGCAAAGCTAGAGACTATCACAGAGGGCAAGTGAGGAGGAGGAGAAACTGTGGGGGCGAGAAGATGGGAGGCGACGACTGAAGCTGCAGACACACGGGCAACAGGAGTGCGCAGCACTGACGCTACCAGGCTAAACCCGGACTACACGGCGACATGCGCAGTTGGCTCGCTGTGCTCCCATGAATGCTCACACTGTGGCTACCGGGCGCAGAGCCCCGGACTACTCAGGCCACAGGGGGTCGTGGCTCTCTGGACTTAAGGCGTTGCGGACGACAAGACGACTGCCTCCACTCAACTTCCCCCAGCTGTCCCACACCCCTTTTACACACCCCCCTGCTGCACCTCTAGCACTGCTCACACGCCACCCCCCTCGTACAACTCCGACGGCTCCAACACATCCACCCCCCTCAGCAGCAGCTGCAGCAGTGGGAGACGGAGGAGGAGGAGGAGCAGGGGACGGCGCACACACCCGGCACCCCCATACTTGCCACCCCCAAACCCTAACACAGGAGCGCGGGCAGCAGAGCGGGTGGGGCACGGTCAGAAGCTCGGGGAACGGCGTGCGGCACTGGGGCAGACTGTACGGGCCGCGCACGGGCCTGGCGCAGGCCGGACGAACCGCGCGCGGGCCTGGCGCAGGTCGCGCGGGCCGCGTCGGGCGACGGGGGGCGACGCGCGGGCCGCGTCGGGCGACGGGGGGCGACGCGTGGGTCCTCGGGGGCTCCGCGACGGGCGACGGGGGGCAACGCGCGGATCGACGGGGCAGGAAACCGCCGCGCGCCTCGGGGCGCATGGAAGGCAGTAAACCGCCGCGCGTTCGGAGCGTGCGGCGAGCAGAAAACCGCCACGCGCCCCGAGCGCGTGGCGGGAAGAAAAAACGT